AATAAGTAATATAATAAAAACAATATAACAAAAAGATGTAGAGTAAAATAAGCGGTAGTTTCTACGATAGTTTCTACGGCTCAAAATTATCATAGTCAATATACTCCTGAATGTAAATCTCTCTAATTTGTATCCACCTCTTTTGGCTTCATGCCTTTGAAATACAATTTGTTCCTGACACTGCTGTATAATATCGGAACTCCTATATTTCTTTTTCTCCGCCAGTTTTGAAGTCCAATGGTTGGAAGTACACAATTTCATTAGATACAAAAATAATTGTGACTGGATAGAGGGTTTTTAATGTAACGACTTTATGAAAACTGGCATGCAAAAATAAAAAATCAAAACATCTTACCCACTACAACTGCAGCCAATTATAATTTGTTGCCAGCTGATTATAGTTATTAAGGTAGCAGCCATACTCCTTTTAACAAAATCCAAAATTAAATTATTAGGGTCTGTAAAATATCACTTCTTTTGTCCTCCTGTTTATTCATTTCCTTAAACTTTTTCAATTGTTTTATAGCATTTTTGTAATGTTTACTATGGGATGGGAGACATATCTATAAATTATATTTATTACACATAATTTTTTAAAATTAAAATGAAACCACTCACCAGAATAAAATGACAAAACTAAGTACTTATAACACGCACTAAAAAGTCTAAAAGTCTTAAGAACTGTCTTGTTCAATTATAATAAATTATACACAATTATTTATTTAAAGAAACACTTAATAGTTAAATTCTTAAACATTAAAAAAACTAACAATAACAAACTGATGAAACCGTTGAAACGTGGTTGCTTAAAAAACGAGCGAGTCTAGTTTAGAGTTTATGTTAGGTTAAATAAAATGTGTTTCTTCTTTGCATTTTTTGTCTTTTTGGCCTACGGTCAACAGAAATTTGGTAAAAATTTAGGTTTTTCAATAAAACAGGTATGCAACCAGGATTACGTACACTTAGGTACGTACTTAGTACGTATTTTTCTGTACGTACTGGTACGTACTATTGTGTACGTACTTAAAACATACATTTTACGTCCTGTACGTACTGTACCAAAACTGTACGTACTTAAGACGTACTGTGCTGTTTGGGTAGTTTGATTAAAATTTAACTTTTTTTAAATTGTGACCCAAATAAAAATAAAAATGTTATTATTTATCAATTCTAAACAAAAATAACTCATTTAATGTATATTTAATCTCAATAACTCAAAAATATACTGACAATTAGTTTGACAGAATAATTGTCACTTATTTAACATTTTAAAAATAATAGTAGTTTGATATCCAAAATATGAACTGTGATTGGTGGATTTCATTTTTTTTGCAGTGTTCTCACTACTTAGAATAGATATGAAATATATTCGTTCAGATGAACGCAATAGCTTTTCTTTAATCTGTGCGTAGATAAGCTAATATCTCTGTATGTGTAGAAAAATATGTTTATTCTATGCCCACATTTCAATGCAGAAAACTAAAATAATAACTACAAATACCTACGCAACGTAAATAAATAGTTTTTAGTATTTACCCCATTAAAACTGCTATTTACACCACTTCATACTATATTTCCTTAGTTTATAATGTTTATGCAACATAAATTATGTTTATAATAATATAAATACAAATACGTCTTAGAAATAAGGATATCTGCATCTTCTTATCCCTTACTGTTGTTATTTTGTTTCACGGCACAACGCTTTCCTCAAATGCATTCAAACAAATGATATGGATGCGAGTCCGAGTCCGAGCCCTAGTGACCAGTTTGAACAGGAAATTTTTTGTTTTTATCTCACATGTATCTCATAAACACGCATTAAAAAGTAATTGTAATTAAAAAATGTAATAATTGTACTTATAAATGTAATTGAAAAGTAATTGCACTTATGACAAGTACTTGTATTTAGACAATTTAAATAACATAAATGATTATAATTACAAAGTACAATTCCTTCACAGATTTTGCTGCAATTACAAATCAAAATTACTTTGAGAGCGAAAAAGTACTTAAATACAATTACAAATTACATGAAAAAAAAAGTAATTGTAATTATTAATTACTTTTTAACTAGGAATTGCCCAGCTCTGTCAGGTTCTTTATTTCAGCTTATTTTTATTCTTTTCACTAAATTTTACAAAAATCACTTTATTTCCCATTGACTTGCATAGAAAATGCGCTAGTTCAGTGTGATGTCATTTTGGTTCCACTGACATTTAATTCTAACCAAACTTTTAACAAAAACATCAATAAATTTGACATATACGTTTTTACTGTTTTTATTTTATTTCAAAATATTGTTTACAGGTCATAAAAAATAGTTTAAAGGTATGTAATTGGTAACTAATCGATTGTATATTTGATACATACTATCTACTTACTTTAGGAATATATTTATAAAAGTGAAAAAAACGATATAATTTAGGTAAACAAAATGAACAAAACGCACTCAAAAAATCTACTGTCACTTTAATTGTCAGTGGAACCATAATTACATCATCACTGAACTAGCGCATAGACGTCGTTATTTTGCCACCCGCCAACTACAGTAGTTTTTTTAACTCCATAAAAATAGGGACGGAAATTTGAAATTTGACCAAGGCCGATTCGCCTCCTTATCTATAGTCTTCATAGTCACGGTTCGTAGACAACACGGCGGCCTTATCACGATTGTTGACGCAGTGACGTCACAGAATGAAAAAGTGAGTTGACAGAAAATATTCTAATTGGTGCCGTACATTAGTTTTTTAAAAAACCTAATACTTTATTGTTATTTAGTGGTATTAATATTTTTCTTTTTTAACTTTGTTTGAAAGACGAGCTACGAAACAGCAAGGAAAAATCATGTAATGATTTCCATCAAATTTCAAATGAATTACTTTTTATTTGAAATTTAAAGAGAAATATTATTGTGAAAGTGGTTTATTTTAAAGATTTTGAATTAGGGTACGGCCTCCGAGCTGAATTTAGATCACACTTTGTTAATATCCTGAAATATTTTGAAATTTGGCAAGCCTGGAGTGAGCCGTAGGTGTTGCTGTAGCCAAACAATTTTTAATTTTTATACACACAAAAATTGTTAGAAGAAATAAAGGGAATGAGCCTAAACTGAAATTAAAAGCTAATGGTAAAACTTTAGAGTATTATTCTGAAAATATCTTTCACTATTATAAAATTAATTGCAGCTTTGTTCACCCTACATTTAAAAGCAGATGAGATGGTTTCTTACAATCATTAAACACAAGGAAGAGCAAGAGAGTCCAAGAGATTTACTAAAAGAACCTACATTATTGAAAAAGAGTGCTACAGGAAGTTTTTAGTAGAAAGTAGTTACAAATAATTTTATAGAAGAATAATACAATGTATACTTAAAAATATATTTTGACAGTTTCTAGGATGTATGAACAACCCAGTTTTATTATGATAATCTCTAAATAATATAGATACGAAATTAGAGAAAAATAGTTTTATCTATTGTGTTTATATACATTCAAAATACAGAGGAGATAATAATAGTACGTATACTTGGAGTATTTAAATAAATCATCCAAAAGACCATGTCTTAGATTTATTTTAGTAACGCAAGGGATACTTCAGAGTACTTCTGAGGCGAATATAGCACCTTTTACTGAAATATCTTCTCGTGAACTCTTTAAAAATTTCTTCTCAACTCCAAAAAGCCCTTGTTTTCTTCTTTAAAATAATTTGTAACAATGTACTTTTTACTAAAAACTTCCTGTAGCAAATTTTTCAAAATTGTATGTTCTTTTAGTAAAGCCCTTTGACTTTTTTAGCTCTCGGTTGTTTTTAATGTTTGTAAGAAACCATCTCATCTGCTTTTAAATGAGGGTGGACAAAGCTGCAATTCATTTAATAATAGTGAATTATATTTGCAGAATAATTACTGTAAAATCTGACCAGCTAATTTCAGTTTCAGCTCAGTCCCATTATTTCTTGTAACGATTTTTGTCTATAAAAAGTAAAAATTGTTTGCCAACAGCAAAACTAAGGCTCGCTCCAGGCTTGCCCAAATTTCAAAATATTTCGGGTTATAAACAAAAGTGTGATCTGAATTCAGCTCGAAGGCCGTACCCTAATCCAAAATGTTTAAAATAAACCATTTACACAATAATGTTTCTCTTAACAATTCAAATATGATTGTTCGTTCCATGCCGTTTTGTAGCTTGTTTTTCAAAAAATCAAATTACCGATTTTATAAAATCTCCAACACAGATATAGTCCAAAAATAAAAATAGAAACAACACTAAATATTAATAAAATATTAGATTTTTTTAAAAATACTAATGTACGAACCGCAGCAGAATATTTTCTGTCAGCTCGATTTTTAATTTCGTTGCGGCACACCCTTCCTTAGCAACGGACGGAAGAGGCCACCGTGTTATCTACGAATCGTGGTACTAGGTACTTTTTAAAAGTATCGATACTTTTCTTGCATCCCTAAGGACCGATTCCATCGTTGTGTTAAACGAAGTTTAAAATGACATTTTTACATTAACAATGTCATTTTAATCTCCGTTTAACACAATGGTGGAATCGGTCCTAATTACATCCTACATGCGAAATCGTATCTATTTTCAACGTATCGACTATAATCGATACTATTCCTTCAAATTACAAGTACAAAGTATCGATACTTCTCAGTATCGTTGCATCCCTACCTCTACCTACCTATATCTTTCCATTTTTCGTTTCTCTGTCACGAGAGATTTGACGAAGTTATTTTCGTAAAATTCTTGAGAAAATTTTGTTTTTTTTTTTATTTCAATATTTGCCGTTTAAATAGAAAATAGCAAAACACCTGTTTTTTTTTTAATTTTGAAAAAAGAATGTAAATAACAATTATTTTAACTTCTTTTAAATATTCGTTTTTTTTTTGAGATCTTGGTAATATTAAAAATACTCCACCCCTTTTTTCATCCCCTCAGAGATTTCCAAAACTTTTACTTTATAATAACATTAATAATATTATTTTTCAGGATTTTGTTCACTTCAAGAAATCGATTGAAAAAACAGTTTTATGTGATATGTGTGACAAAAAATTTGTAACCCAACAATATTTAAACATTCATTTATTTACTGTGCATGGAAAGAACGTTGGAATTAAAGAATACATTTGCTACATTTGTGGATACAAAAATGTAAGAAAAACAGCATTTCTTAAACACGTTACCCGACATTCAAAGCATTTAGAAAAAATGTATTGCGCAAATTGTGATTATTCAACTTTCAATAAAACAAACCTTATACAACATATGGTGAAACACAATAAGCACGTAAAAATGCACAAATGCAAAATATGTTCGTTTGAAACAAAAAGACCTCACACCTTGAGAACTCATGTTAAATCGCATCAAAATCTTTAACCGAACATTGGGATCCCGTTTCTTAATGTAACTGCCGCCTCACTTAATTTGTAGTAACATTTTGTAATTTCTAATTCCTCATTTAAAAAAAATGCTTAAAAAAATTACTTAGGAATTCGAACGTCCTGTCAAACTGCTTCAATATGGTAGATGATTAGAACACAAATAACTTTGTTTACCTTATTAACCAACAAATAGAAACTCGATTAACTCGGAAAACTTCTGCAAAGTAGAGCAGTGTTGTTAAAAATTTTAAAATAATATTGTACTATAAATAAATTTAATTTTATCTATTTAGTTTTAGCTTGTAGGATTTATCTTTTAAACATTCATTGTCATAAAGTAATAACCGTTAAATTTTAGTATACAAATTTATAGTGATTTTACTTTTATTTACAAATCATTTATTGGATCTATCTTCTTTTAAAATTGTGGAATGCGACTTACCAGTAATCTTAATTGTAGGCTTTAAATGTTTATATTTTAGATTATAAGTAGTTACTTTTTAATCAGATATGGAACAGTATGTCCGTGATTTTGAAACAGATACAATTGAAACGTTTACACTAGAAAATGCAAAAGAATTAAAAGACATTTTTAAGGTAATTAACCATATCGACAACTTTAAATTATGCCATACAAACATTATACATTAACAAAAATATAGATGAATTTAAAGCATTCCTAGAGTACCCTAGATACGAATATAGACTTATTATAGAAATAGAGACCTGGAATCTACCTCAACCAGAACTCTATAATATAGTAGGCTATGATTTTTTATACAATAAAGGTAATTTCAATAAAAATGGTGGGGTAGGTATTTACATATAATCCAATCACAAATACAACTACAAACTTTCAACTATCTAAAACACAGATGCAATAGAACTTCTTTTAACATTATATAATAGCTATAAAATTGCAATTACTGCTATATATCTTCACCTTCAATTGATCCGAAAAAAATTACAGATCATATACAATAGTATATTACATTACGAGTGTGGAAAGTGACATTTTTCACACGAGTGGGAAATATTGTCGCACGAGGCACAAGCCGAGTGCGACTATCACACGAGTGTGGAAATTCACTTTTCACACAAGTGATGTACAATATTTTTCCTACGACCACAAAATATTTTCATCAAAAAATGTAAAACCAGGTTATTATAATAATTAAAATGTATTTAAAAAAATAATCAACAACAATCGTATTTATTCAATTTTCATATTTTTTAAACAAAAAAAAAACAAAAATTAAAAAAAAAATAAAAAAAAAAAATGTCTGGCCCCCCCCCGCCAGGATTCGAACGCGGTCGTTCGCCAGGTCTCTCAAATGGCAAATTTGATAATTTGATGCTCTAACCAACTGAGCTAACAGGCCTTTCGTCAATTGAGTGATCTAATCGGTTATATGTTTAACCAGAATAAAAAGCAAACATAATCTTAGTTATTTTAAAATTATTTTAATAATAATTGTTAAAGATAAATATCTAGGATCTAATTTACAACAATTTCAATAATTTAACAATCATATCGATTTTAGTATTAATATGGACATTACATAGATCAAAATAGAAATTAGGTGTTTGACATTTTGTAACAACTACTGCGGAAAGTAACATATTCTCACTCGGGTGGAAAGTAAATTGTTATTCATACGCGTGTGATATAGGGCACTTTCCATAGGACTTTATAGTGTGATATGTGTCACTTTCCTAAGTGGTCGTAGGAAAAATTATTTTCATAACTACGATTACTCGAATGCGGCATATTCAATAATTATTGGAGACTTGAATATCGACATTCTAAAACACGAAAAATATTCTAATGAATATCTCAATGTTTTAAATGAATTTGAATACCTATCTACAATAAATAGTCCAACAAGTGTTACAGAAAACACAAAATCTTGTATTGATCATATTTTTATTAAATCTAATTAAAATATTACTGATAAAATAATGCCCTTTGTTGTACGAACAGATAACATCACTGTATAACAGCTTTACAATTTATTCTTAAACCTACAATAAAATCTGAAACAAAAAATAAAACGGCAAGATTTAAAAAATTCGTGAATCAGAAAATACTAAAAAATATTTTAAATAGTGTATCTTTTGGTGATCTATTTGCTACTAGGGAAGTCGATTCTGCAACAAATACATTCGTTAGTTTATTATCTAAGTTTGTAAAAGATAGCACAAAAGAATTAAAATTAAGAAGAAAAATACATAAAATGAGGTCCCTGGATCACAAACCAGCTGCTAAAAAAAAAATAAGAAGAATGCACTTTTCAACAAATATTAAAAAACCCGAATAACCTAGAAATTAAACAACAATTCTATAAAAACTGAAAAATAACTATTATAAAAGCCTAATTAACAAAAATATTGAAAACAATTCCTGTAACCCCCAACAACTTTGGAAAGTATATGAAATTAACCCCAATAGAAAAACAAAAAAAATAAATTCAATAAAAAACTCAAAAGGGAAAATAATAAATACTTTCAAAGAAATTGCAAATATTTTTAATAAAAACTATACAGGGTGGCTCACGCTCAACGGGACGGAGCTTTATGGGAAAACGACCAAAGATATAAAAAAAATTGTTTGGGAGGAATACGTAGGTTACAGACGGCTACAATTTAAAATTTGTTAGATGTATACAGGATGTCCCACATAAGAGAAAATATACAAAGTTTATATTATTTTTAATGGAACACCCTGTTTTTTATTTTAGAATTAAAAACTACATCAAAAATAATGTCAGTTAACTAAAGGTTCCCTATTACTATTATTATTATTAGTTTTCGATTTATTTGAATTTTTAAGGAAAAAAAGTCTCCCAGAAATTAATTGTTTACTCTTGTTTGAATAATTTTTAATGAACTAATTTTTTTTTCTTATGTGGGACATCCTGTATACATCTAACAAATTTTAAATTGTAGCCGTCTGTAACCTACGTATTCCTCCCAAACGAATTTTTTATATCTTTGGTCGTTTTCCCATAAAGCTCCGTCCCGTTGAGCATGAGCCACCCTGTATAATTGTTGGAAAAGAACCGGCTGAAAATATTAAGCCAAATCCAACTTATCGAGCACCCCGTAATATTCTCTGCAATTCTTTCGTTCTATTTCCAACTTCCGAACGAGAAATTGAAACTTATTAACGAGTTAAAATCTAATAAAAGTTCTGGTATTGACAATATTAAGGCCAAAATATTAAAGGATATATCTAAATTTATTTTAACGCCACGAAATCATTTGATAAACTTAACTTTTGATACTGGTGTAAGGCCTAATATATTTAAACAGACAATTGTTGTCCCCATATATAAAAAAGGAGATGCCACAGTGGTAACAAATTATAGACCAATTTCATTAATTACACATTTTTGAAAATGCTGTTAAAAACAGATTAGTAAATTTTACATCAAAATATGGTTTAATAATATCTGATAAAAAAATATGGTTTTAAAAAACATGTCTCTACGGAAGATGCCATTATAGCACTATCTACCAAAATACTAACTGCTCTAGATGAAAGCAGTCCATGCCTCTGTGAATGGATAAAATTTAAAAATTTTATGTCGACACAATGAAAATATTATTAAAAAAAAAAAACCGCTTATATATTTTTCATACATTGGCAGGCCTGGCGACTTCTATTTCGAATAAAAATAGCGTCCAAGATGGAAGACTATGTCGCAACCCCGGTTTTTCAATGTCCAGTCAAAATCGGGTGTTACGTAGCCGACAGGATAGCTATTCTCTAACTCATGGGAGCACTCCCATACTCCCATGCCAACGTTGACAAGTCGACAGAATAACTTTGATCTACTATTTAAGTAGTTCAAATTTACTTTGTGATAAATACGGACCTAACCTAACCTTTTTACTCCAAACGACCCCTTTAGCGTTCGGTTTAGTCCACATACATTGCGTTCGGTTTGCCACGTTCCTTTAACTCCTTTAACACTTTTAACTCCAAACGACTCTTTTAGCGTTCGGTTTAGTCCGATTAGTGACAGTTTAACACGCTTAAATGTCATTTAAAAGCACCCTAAAATTTGTCCCGCTCCAGCCCCTGACTGACCGAACTCGCCTATACTTTGATTACTATACGAGGCAAGAGAGAGGTCCGACACGCCCAACATAGGGCGCGGCCATTTTGAACCCTGTGACACAGTTTACAGCTAAAGAATCAGATCGCTCACTCTGCGTCGGCACTTTTGATCTCAATGTTTCAGTTTATACACTGTGCAACTCGGATAATACAATATATGACAACCGCCTATAATAAAACAGCAGTCTTCTGCGTATCCTGAATTTGTATCCATGGAGTGGATGTTATTTTGGAACTTTCAACTGGTCCGAGTGAGCTAACTGATTCTTTAGCAATAAACTGTGACTTCAAAAATAATATTCACTGACACTCACAGCAGCAAGCAAAATATCAGATGCGTTTTAATCATCTGCTTCTGCTTTCGGAATTGTCGGTTTAGTCGTTTTAACCTGTCAGATTAAAACAAGAAAACCGACCATTCCGAAGCAGAAGCGGATGATTAAAACGCACCTATTAAAAATATTGCGCCAAGATGTAGGTAACTCGCAATAAGGGTTCAAAATGGCGGAGTTTTCTATCTCCTTTTAAAAGGCACTCAGAAAGCTGCGCAGTGCGACCATTCTCCGTATAGTAAAAGAAAATCAAAGTATGTGGTTTAGTCCAATTAGTGACAGTTTAACACGCTTAAATGTCATTTAAAAGCACCCTAAAAAACTCCGCTTTTGTCCCGCTCCAGCCCCTGACTATCCGAACTCGCCTATAGTAGATAAATAAAAATATCCCACTTATAGGTGACAAATGACAGGCGCGCGAAAATTAATTTGAATCGCGAATTGTTTGACAGGTCGTTGGATTGCTTAATAGATACCGGCATTGCGTTCGGTCTGCCAAGTTCCTTTAACTCCTTTAACACTTTTAACTCCAAACGACCCTCTTAGCGTTCGGTTTAGTCCGATTAGTGACAGTACATTGATTTTTCAAATACCGATCCCATATTTTTTGTTAATTTTAGAGATCTTTTCATCGTGTACTATTATTTTACTTGCATGCCGTCCATTAGTTCTAATGCATGATATATTTTAAGAGTTGTAACAAATATTTTTAATGTAATTTTAAATGTTTTTAAGAGCAAACGGAACACCTTGAAAATTTCTAATTCCCTCTAAGTCATTATTTTTCGTTCGATTTTTGTAAAATGTTCAGGAAATACCAATAATAGCAAAACTTCGAATGGATAAACCTTGATTTTTCTGTAAATACCCGAATAGTATTTGACCCTTTTTAAAATGAATTAAAAAAAAAACATTACTCGCCATTCTGTATTAAATATATGAAACTTTGATGGTGTTTGTTTTAATAAATATCTAGCAGTTTTTAAATGGAAGAATTTCCCCTCTTTTCTTTAATGTCTCTGTAGAGCGAGGCCTTATCGTTGCACAAATTGAAAGCTCTCAATATTCCCGAGACACGTAACATCGCGAAGTATTCTCAATGGAGCGCATATAAATACAATTTTATATTAGAAAAACCTCAGCATTTTTGCTTTCTTGAGTGGTCTGGTTTGCTCTTAATAAAAGCCCTAACAAATACGTATATGTAATTTAAAATAGTTTTAATCTTTATTAAAATGTAAATACAGTTATTTTTTTTACTGCCATGTAATGACTAAATAAACGATTTATACTTATAAACGGTTATCAATTAGACCCACCATTTGTTCAGTTAAAGCCCCCAGGTGGTATATCGGTGATAAATGTGTGAATAACCCGTATCGTAACAGATGGATTTGTGTGAATAGAAAATAGAAACAAATCAAAATAATATATTTTAATAATTCTTAGAAAACACAATCCATTCGTTGTACAGTATTAATCTCGAGAAAAATAACATTTTTTTAAGTGTTTTTGTGTGAACACAGCAGCCTATAAAAGTGAATGTGAATTTTAAACCATCACAAAATCAAATTATTCCGATAGTTTGAAATCTTCCAGTCAACTAAACGAGAGTTTGTGATATGTATTGAGAATATTTATTTTGAGAGATACTTCAAATAATAATGTTAAAATATACAGGGTTTTCTATTTAAAATAATTTGAGTTTTTAATGTTTAAATAAGCTACGTACAATACATATCTATTTCGAAAACCCTACAATATTTATGATCAGTAAGTTTTTGAGCTTTACAACCCAGAAGACTATAATTTTACCTTAAAAAATCATTTTTTAAAATTACATATTTAAAAAAACTTGGAATAAGTATATCGAACCCTTAACAAAGTTAGCCCATTTTTCTTTGTAGATTTCAAAAATGAATAAAATACAGTGTCCATTAAAAAAGCTACCTAGCTATAATATGTATCACTTTATACTGGAACACCCTGTATAATTGAAAATATTTTTAAATTGATGCCTGTTCGGATTTATATCTCGACGTAAAACCCGAATTAAATTAAAAGAAAAATTAGTTTTCGCTCTACAGACAGATGCGTTACCACTGGCTCACCCTGTATAAAACTTTTTGAGACACCCTGTATATAGAGCTGTTTTTAAAATAATCACTTTTGGATTAAGTTCAAAATATAATTTTACTTCTATGTTAATTTAAAAATAAAAATCTACTCCATTTCAAAGTATTGTCGGATTAAAAAATATTGCCGTGAAGGTCTACGAGTATATAACGTACAGTAGATGTCCTCAAAATTGCACTATCTTTAATAATTCTTTGTTTCGTCATTTCTTTTTTGTTGCAATAACAGACGGATACCCCTTATGTTTCTGTCTCACCTAGGTGTAGTCCTACTAGAATAGAGCCGGATCAATACAACGAACTACCGCTTATATTCAGACCTTCCTATGGTGCGGCGAAGATTGAGAGATAATTATTTAAGATAGTCCAACCCTGCATTGACATCAAGCATATTTGTGTAAGAAGTGAGTCAGCCGTCCGAAGTGTCATTTACCCCAATGCGCTAGTTCAGGGGACCTATTTTCAAAGTATGTGAGCACTCATTTCTCTCAAGATTCTCATCAGAAATGTCATACGTCAATGTGGAAACGCTGTATTTAAAGACATCGAGGATTAAAATTCTTAGGAGGATATTAATTATCTCTAAATAAACCGTGAGAAACAATCAGTGAGTTTACACTGGCCCTTAGGATCCTAAAAATCTTGTTTTACGTTGACGTATGACATTTCTCTCGAGAGAAATGAATTCTCTCGACTTTGAAAATAGCACCCCCGGGGGGCTATTTTCAAACTCGAGAGAATTCATTTCTCTCAAGAGAAATGTCATACGTCAACGTAAAACCGTATTTTTAGGGCTCTTAGGGCCAGTGTGAACTCACTGACTGTTTCTCTCGGTTTATTTAGAGATAATTAAAATTCTCCTAAGAATTTTAATCCTCGAGGCCTTTAAAAACAGCGTTTCCACATTGACGTATGACATTTCTGATGAGAATCTTGAGAGAAATGAGTACTCACACGGTTTGAAAATAGGTCCCCAGGGGACCTATTTTCAAACCGTGTGAGTACTCATTTCTCTCAAGATTCTCATCAGAAATGTCATACGTCATTGCGGAAACGCTGTTTTTAAAGGCCTCGAGGATTAAAATTCTTAGGAGGATATTAATTATCTCTAAATAAACCGTGAGAAACAATCAGTGAGTTTACACTGGCCCTTAGGACCCTAAAAATACTGTTTTACGTTGACGTATGACATTTCTCTCGAGAGAAATGAATTCTCTCGACTTTGAAAATAGCACCCCTGTGATGATGTAATTATGGTTCCACTGACAACTAAAGTGACAGTAGATTTTTTGAGTGCGTTTTGTTTACCTAAATTATATCGTTTTTTTCACTTTTATAAATATATTCCTAAAGTAAGTAGATAGCATGTATCAAATATACAATCGTTTAGTTTCCAATTACATACCTTTAAACTATTTTTTATGACCTGTAAACAATATTTTGAAATAAAATAAAAACAGTAAAAACGTATGTCAAATATATTGATGTTTTTGTTAAAAGTTTGGTTAGAATTAAATGTCAGTGGAACCAAAATGACATCACACTGAACTAGCGCATCAGGTGAGCTGTTAATTTAGTAGCTATTAGCGAGGGTGTATCGGCACTTCGGTAGACCAAATTCTTAAATAGTTTTAGGCTGGTATAATAAAACTGCAAATGCATACTGGGACGTGTCCATCTAGTGACGTTAATGAACAATACTTCTATAATAATGAATATATAATAATAAACATCTTTAAAATTATTGACTCACCATCTATTTCTGACGTTTTTATATTGTTGTTGATACGAGGAAGTGTTGCTGATTTGGAGATATTGAAGGAGCATCGGGACGTTGAGCGTCAGAATGTAGAGTGGCGGGACGTTTAGAGGGCGTCAGAGGACGCAGAGCGTCGTATATGAAGAGAGTCGTGACACTTGAAAAGCAATAACCAAACAGAGTTTCCAAAGATCGTTTAAGTTTAAGTCAAAATTACAATGTTACATTAAACTCAAAAAACATATAACTAATAATAAAAACTATATACTGGGTGACCAAGATGATATTTTGCTATTTTCAACATTTCTTCCCAAAATTCATCTAATTTTTACATCTTGCATACAGCCATCATACTTCTTAGTTTAACAAACTGAACTTTCGGTAAAGTTTTAGTCATATTATCTGCCACTTGACCAGCACTGGAAGTATATTCAACTTACATAATATCTTCTTAAAACTTCTCTCTTACAAAATGGTATCGAAAGTATGCTTGGACTTTTTGTGAAATTCGGGGGTTTTTTACAAGTTTAATCGAACTTATATTGTCAATGTACAAAACTGGTTTCTTTTGAAGTTCTGTTATTTCTTCTAATAACATATTTAACCAAATTAGATCATTGGTTGCATCACTGGCCTCAACATATTCAGCTTCCGTGGTTGAGAGTACGACACTTCTTTGTTTTTGACTGAGCCACGTGATAGCAGAAGCTGAGTACATGCTTACAACTCCAGTTCTGGTCTTTCGGGTTGCAACGTCTCCAGCATAATCAGCATCACTGAAGACATTTAAGTTACTATCAGTCCCTCGCAGATAGCGAAAAATCCTCTTAAAAGCACACCAATCTGATTTTAGCGGGTCGTTTAATTTTTCAAATACCATACTTACTGCATATACAATGTCCGGTCGTGAGGCTTCCATTAAAACATTAAACTTCCCACTGCTTCGCGATAGGGTATATCTTTTTCTAATTTTTCACTATCTTGAACAATGTTTTTTTCATTTGGTGTGGCTACTGGTCTGCAATCTTGCATATTAAATTTTGCCAAGATTTTCTTTACGTAAGCTTCTTGATTCATAAATATATCACCATTTTCCGCTTGTGTAATTTACAAACTTAAATAACTTTCTAGGGAGCCAATTGAAAACTTAAAAGTATTCTTAAGGTCTTGAATAAATGATCTTCGTCACTACTTGCAACAAGATCATCATCCACGTAGATTGCAACCAATAATTTCTTATTATTTTCTTTACGTACAAATAAGCACGGATCAGCTGCACTCGCCAGACTTCATTTTCATGTTGAACTTTGGTTAGCATTGATTCAACATTAACCTCCATGAAAAAGCTTCACCTTCAACATGTTGATTCGAGTTTCGTTCAGTGGGATTTTTACTAGCGGATTTCTTTGGACAATCTTTACAAAGATGATCCATTTTATGAGATTTAAAACATTTTAAAATTGGTTTTCTATTTTGTTTCTTATCTCTGCCCATTTTTGCAACAGTTTCATTAATTTTGGAAGGTAATCGCATTTATATTAGTCTCAACCGCTCAATAAGCTTATGATTCTCTCCTCTATAGGCACATATTCCCACACGATTTTGAATTCAAAATATTCTTGTGGTAGAGTGGACATTATTCAACTGGCAATTCTGTTTTTACTAGCCTCTTTAGTTCATCATTCAAATGGCTAGTTTTTCTGAAGACGAGCGATGTGTGTTGTAATATCTTCTGAAGGTTCTTTTTCTGAACTAAAGAATTGTTCTATGAGCCTATCTACTCTTTGACCGGAACTCTGCTCATACACAGATAATAATTTATCCCTAATAGATTTAGAGGAACAGTGACGTAGAAAGGTAGGGAAGTAGAGCGTCGAATGGAATATAGGGCATCGGGACGTAGAACGTCGGATAAGAAAGATGACGTCGGGAGATAGGTCGTCGGGACGTAGAACGTCGATGGGAGGTAGGATATGAACTGCGTCGGTTTAGAAAAAGTACTGAATACTGAACTTGAATTATACTAGATTTGAAAGTAATGAATGACTGGGGTTTGAAATCAACTGAACTGAGTTTGATTTCATAATGAATCTAGAGTCCCTCGGGATCGGGTCTTTATACCCGATTTAATGACTTTGTGACGTCAACTTGTAACTCCGGTGGGAATGAATTTGGGTGGATAGCAAACAATGTTACTATTCAAAACTGACTTAAGTGCGTTAACTGTTTCAATGATTATTACTTCGTGACAAAATTTAGGTGGCTTCGGGTTGGTTCCCAGACACGTGCAAGAAATTTGGATCTCTTATGGACAGGGTTATAGATATTATTTATTAGGTGTCGTAAATAAGATTTAATTATATGGGAGATTTTTCGTTAAATGAAGGATTTTGAATTTAATAAGAAAGCAATATTTTCTTTAATAAATTGAATTAATAAAATTATGAAGGTACCTGGGTGCGGTAGGTAACAATACATCTGTTTGTGTATTATTGTAAAACTTTTATTTTATTATTTGTGAATAAGTATTATTATTATATACATATAATACTGTGATGAAAATTAGGGTGTGTATTTGGTATAAAGTTTTTTGAAAACCCCTCCCCGGAAAGTTACACCCCTCTGAAGATTTAAAAAAACATTGTTTTTTTTTTATTATTTTCCCTGTACATTAAGCTAAAGACATGAAACTTGATAAATATTATTTGTCAATAAAACTACACTTTTGAAATTTTTTCAACGCTGAAGTATACTTAGAAGGGGTTGAAATAGTCAACCTCCAAGATATTTTTTCAGGTAAAATTAAAAAAAATGGCTGAAAAACCCAATTAATTTACCAACTTTTTTATCTCTTCAAGTTTTTTCGAAAACTCGTTAACATACATTTATTTTTTCTCGTAAATGCTTGTTTTTGAAAAAAACTTGTAGAGATAAATAAATTGGGCTTTTCAGCCATATTTTTTTAAAAGAAATATTTTTATCAAAAAAAGTTATAAGAAAAAATATCTTAGGAGTTGACTATTTCAACCCCTTCTAAGCATACTTCAGGGCTGAAAAAATTTCAAAAAGTGTAGTTTTATTGACAAATAATATGGCACATTGTATTTTTTTCTTTCCCTTTGTAGTTGGATAAAGGGGGCGAGGTTGAACAACATGTACTTTGTCCCGGTGGAGGGAGCGTTCATGTGATCTGTGTAATTCAAAGTAAAGTTATTCATGGATTTTTTTGCTGGCAGAATGCAATCAGCAACTTCTTAACTTGAAAAATGATTTACCAGTCTTCTCGGTACCCCAATGTTTTGATCAGCCATATATTCAATTACTAACTTTTAGTGGAAAGCGACACGCTGGTTCGGATTCTAAAGCAGAATTTTGAATGAATTTGCACGGTTTGTTTTAGGATTTGATGGGCGGCGTATTAGCAGTAATTTAACATCAAAATTACAATCCCATTATGTTACAGTTTAGATGATGGAGGATTAAATGGCACCATTAAATATTCAAAGCTTCGGGGGCTCACTCACTCGTACTAAAATCAATAATTATATAGACATAAATGGGCACAAACTACTAATTTAGGCTAACTGCAAGAAAAACTTTAATGAAAAAAAAACTAATTAGTATGTAACGTGTTTTATTCAGAGCTTTTAATAGATTTTTATTCAAAATATATTATAATGCCATAGAATCCTTAAAACTACAGATATTAACAAAAAAAACATGCCATATAACCATTTTTTATCAACATTTTCATAAATATCAACGCCCGAAACTTTTCCCTTTTGAAGTGGCTCCCTCAATCCTGGCATTACAACTTCATCCAAAGGCTGTCCTAACATAGAAAATTTTGTAGCCTCAATGATTTTAACCTTAACTAACTTTCCCATATACTCTTTTCTCATAGGTATAAGAACTTGGTCGTAGTATTTATTGTGAGCTACATAGTGTTTTTTATCATGTGATACCTCCGTTGCCAACACTTCTTGAATTTCTCCCACTTTGTGACCATAAGGTTGGTAAGAATGGAACAGCTCTGTCAATTTCTTGGTTCTCTGTTTAACTTCTTGAGTTGGTACTCTTGGCATTAATGCTGCCGGAGTTCCCGGTCTTGGGTAGAACTGGTTGATAAACAGGCTTGGAAATTTGTATTTTTTACATAAGTCAATTGTTTCCTCAAAGTCTTCTTCTGTTTCTGTAGGAAAACCACAGATTATATCAGTAGCTACTGTCATGCCAGGAACTCTAAAAGTCAAATTAAAATACATGAGGTAACAATTTTATACAGTATGATGCAAATGAAAGGAATAGATTCATTATTTATTATATAAATGTGATTTGGTCTTTCAATTATCTAATCGATCATATCAATAGTTTTAAGTAATTGAGGTTCTTAAACTGCTAAAAAAAAATTATAAAACCTACAACAAATCACTTTTCAAATATTAATTTTTTACCCTATAAATACCCAAAAGTAAATTTGGTCAAGGCAGTCACTGAAAAGAAAATGTTATTTCTTGCTTGACTTTTTCAAAACATGGTTCTTAACAAGATTGCTACGTTCAAAAACTTATTTAACTGGTCAAATGTAAATGATATTAAAATAGTGGGTATTGCACATGTCTTTGAATATCAGTTGGTCTTAGTTTGAGTACAGTTTGAATTTTGTATGGATACATATGCAAGTCTAAGTGAACACTTCTTGTGGAAATTATTAGTTATGAATGAACATCACCCTAAACAATATTTTTATTTGAACAACCAGAATGCTTTACATCACTTACTGTGCCATTTTGTTAAAATGCGTTTGCTAAACGTCAAATTATTTCTAATTATTTTTCTGTGTGGAGCTCTTCGATTAGGATACATTCGCCTAAAAGCAAGTTGGGTTGAAATTGTCGAAGAAAAGTTTTGTAAATACAATTTAACAATTCCTGAGCATTCTTAAAACGAATAACGCTCCATAACCAAATTCTGTATCTTTCTAATTTTATATAAAACTTCACTAACAGTTGTCAAAAAAGTAACAAAATTATAATAATATTCCATAGCTGGGGAATATTTTGCTACACTTTTTTTCTTCTATTTTGTTCTTATTAACCGACTTCAAAAAAGAAGGAGGTTCTCAACTCGTCGCATTATTTTTTTTTAGCGATAATTCTTAACACGGCCGATTTCAATAATTTGTTAGAAAGGGGGTACTTCAGGGGTGGTCCCATATAAATTTTGTCAAAATCTAATAATTGGGTCCATGAGAAACTCCTCAAACTCTTCATTTTGCATGTATGTTTAGCGATAATGCTTTACCACCTTGTCCGATTTATATGATTCTTTTTTTGTTAGTAACGGGGTACCTCAGGGGTGGTCCCATATAAATTTGGTGTGGTGATGGCATCTACACATTTTTGAAGTCGGTTTTTTTAAATTTTTAATTTCTAATACTTGTCTGAATATATTCATATTCTGTATGATATTTATCAAAGTACTCCTGCTCTGTAATAATTCGGTGTTATACCTGTATAACTTGATAAATGAAATAAAAATAAAATAACGTGAATGCTTCCAATTTGCCTTTGTAGAATAATTAATTTAGTCCTTTCATTTGCACCATACCTTATATTCAGCAGGTTTGGAAATATTTTGAATAAAAAAAATTGTGTTCAGAACAGGAATATTTTATTTGGGTGCAGACAAACAACTATGAATTCATGTTATCAATTCCCAAAATGTATTTTTTTTTCATGAATTCATTTTTTTTTTATTGATACACAACATTAGTACCAGTGGACAGGTTTTCGGCTAAAAAGCCATTTTCAAGCTTATAGATAAATAGTTTTAGATTACAAGTAAACAACAAACCTTGGGTCTTACTGTTAAATAAATTATAAATAGTAGCAAAATTCAAACGTTTTTAAACAAACACGAAATTATAACAGTAAAATTGACTTTTAGCAATAAAGTGGTTGTTGAAAATAGTAATAATCAAATAAATAGGTTAAAGGAACAAAGGATAAATCGTTAATTGTCTTATGACGAATTTCTTCTGAAATGCAAACATCCAGAGTATGTTACATGAATTACTGCAACCAATAGTAATTACTAGCTTACTATGTGTGAGAAATATCTTCAACTTTTCAGACGATATTCTTCATAAGACGATAGAAGACAAGTGGATAAAGGTGTCATGTCACAAAAAGATTATTTCGAGAAAAACAAGTTTAAAGTTTTACAACTGCATTATTATACAGTGAGCATCATAAGTCTTACCCCCCTATCTAACTCGTTACTGGAGTCTTGTTAGGAAAATCGCAGAGACACGTCGATTTTTGATTTCTACAATGTACATTTATGTATGAATAGTTTACCCTTAATTTCATCCCTTGAAGGGAGCAAACCTTTCGAAAAATTTAAATGGCATGGGTTGGTGAGTGATAGCTCATTTAAAAGGGGGTTTTATTCTCTATTCAATGGTGCCAAAAATTTTGAAATTTGCTTCATTACGTGTTGATTTATTAATAAATAACAAAACATCACAAACTGGAAAGCAACTAAACTAACAGTGACCTTATCTGTTATTACAATAAATGTTCTCCGTTGACCTCCTGGCAAAAATAAAATCTATTTTCAGTTTCAGCCCTGATGCTTTGCAAAATTTCTCGAATAATTGTTGCACACACTTCCGTAATCCGTCGAGAATTAATGGAGCAAATTTCAATTCCTTTGCACGGTTGAATAAAGAATAAAACCTCCTTTCAAATGAGCTATCACTCACCACCCCATGCTATTTAAATATTTCGAAAGGGTTGCTCCCCTCCAGTAAGGGATGAAATTAGGGGTAAACTATTCATACAAAAATGTACATTGTAGAAATCAAAAATCGACGTGTCTCGGCTATTTTCCTAACAAGACTCCAGTAATGCGTTAGATAGGGGGAGTAAGACTTATGATGCTCACTGTATATGTCTCATAATACCTTCCTATCTGATGAGTGGCCGTTATTTTTCAAAATTGGAAATCAGAACTATCACAAACAGAAAATATAGTATATTTTAAGTATATTAGGCCATAAAAATCATTTTTTGAAAAATGTGACATGGCGCCTTTATCCACTTACGTCTTCAATTCCTGAATGGCCCTTCCTGCTTTATTTTTTTTGATGATCACTATTTTCGTCACTTTATTGCTAAAATTAAATTTTTCTGTTATAATTTCATGTTGTTCAAAATTTTAATACTTTTCTAAATTATCTAAAAAGGCGTAATTGAATAATATTCAACTACCCTAGGATCTAAGGTTTGCTAATTATTTATTTGTAACCTAAAACCATTTATTATTAAAATGTATTTATTTATAGGCCGAAACTGGTCGCCTAATTTATAATAAAGCATGTGGTACTGATTTTGTGTTTTTCTTCGATTCATTTTTTTTCTAGTTTCTTTTTATAATGTACCAAAATATTAAAAATATATAGTTTCTTACTTTTCTCTGAGAAAATCAACTACATGTTCAAAATCCTTTCTACAATACTCTCTTTTCATGTCACCTAAAACAGCATCACTAGCTGATTGAACAGGCACATGCAAAAAAGCATACACTTTATCGACAGCCATAATTTTTGCAATTTCTTCCAAATGTTCCAGAATATAAGGAGGATTTGTCATTCCTAAACGCAGGCGACATCCCTTGGGAATTACTTCAACCAATTTCCATAAAAGTTCTGGTAAGGATGTACCTATATCTCTTCCATAGGTACCTTGAATAAAAATTTAGTTTACAATGAGTGAATAATATTTTACTTTTGACAAAAACTAAATTTATTAATAATCACATAAATATGTTTAATGATAAATAATGGTTTAAGTTTGAAATGAGACTGCAAAAAATTAATTTATGTACTTATTTTATATTCCTTACCTGTGTCCTCTGAAGTAAGCCATATTTCGACCACTCCTTCTTCAAACGCCTGCTTAGCCCTAGCAACAATCTCCTCAGGAGGGTAACTTCCCAAATCTCCCCTAGCATGCTTAGTCTTGCAGTAGGTACATTGATTAAGACAGCCTGTGTTTATGGCAATAATTTCTATCAGGGGATTTCTTCTTACCTGTATAAATGTAAAAATTACTTAATAATGTGAAAGTTTATCAATTAAAAACTATTCTTGTTAAAAATGTGTAGTTACAAAATAAAATGTTTCACCAAACAGGGTCTTGTCAAAAAGTTCTGATTTAAATTTATAAGATAGTGTACATAAGAAGACTAAAATGAGCCTCTACAAAACAGCATTTAGGTCTGTGACCACATAAACAATAAGTGAAGAAGAGAGGTAGGCTCAGAATATATCAAAGGTAAAAGACATGACCTATGAACCTGGTAATAAAATATGATTATAATAATAATAATAATAAACGTCTTTATTGCACAAAAGTAAAGCACATAGGGCGAGATTTAGCTTAGCTATTCTTATCAATAGCATTAGCTATTTATACTTTCTTTGATTTGAATATACTCTGGTTTTTTAAAAGTATAGAATTGAGTGATTATGCTTACTTACCTTTGGTAACAACAATGAAGCACCTCCAATTTTTTTACCATTTTCTTTTTTTGTGCCCATTAGTTTAACAGTATTGCCTTTAAGTGTTTCTTCTACTACTTCAACAACCCTATCAATTTGCTGTACTCCAATAATACTTAGACCTTGAACAAAAGAGGATTTGGGGGCACCTTGAGGCACACATCCAGCTAGGACCAAGTGTTTTCCCAATTTTTTGGCTGACTCAATTTCATTTCTGAAATGTCAAAAAATATTTTTCATTAAAAAAAGCACTTAGTATAATTTGATCTTAAATATGATCCAAAATCTTCATGCATATTTTACCAAATTAAACAAAAGAGGCCCATGTTCTACAAATGTATTACTGGACGTATGCAAAACAACTTCAAATTTTACATCATGTAATAACTTGCATATTTTTAAAAAGGGAACACATTTATTTAATGAAGTGAAATAAAAATAGCAAAGTTCATAGATTCATCTATTTTACAAAAAAAAATCAAAAATTAAAATTTTACAAATATTTTACCTAAAGTGATCTTCTGCAGGACTTTTTACAGTACAGCTATTTAGTAATATAAGGTCTGCCTCATTTTTGTCATCAGTCAGTTTATATCCATAAGCTGCTAACTGTCCTGCCATGTATTCAGAGTCTGAACTATTGTGAGCACATCCCCATGTTTGAACACATATTTTTTGTGTACCTGGTATGTTGTCTCCCATGGGAGCTGGTAGTATATTTTCATTTTTGGTCTAATAATAGTGATAAATAAAAGGAATAATAAGAATGTTGTTTACTGAACTGAGTATTCAGTCCAACCGACTATTGAAAGAAGTCTATTGAACTGAATATTCAGTCTAATAGGTTATCGACCAAGTCCTTCTGCCTACTGGTCTAATGAACATTTTAAATTATTTTTATATACATTTTGGATGAAATCAAACAAATTGATGGGCAACTACATTAAACATAATTTTTTACCTCACAGAGAACAAGAAAAAGTTTAATTTGTAGTGAATGTATGATAGTGACTGAAATGCAATTATTATAATATATAATGTGCATACATACAAGAAAATGAGCACAGAAACAATTTTGAAAAATTTATTATATTTAAATCTAAGTTTATGTACTTACTTTTCTCTTTGCTTGAACTTTAACACTTTTACGACTACTGTATCTTTCTTTAGGTGTTATGTCTTGTGCGGAAATCAAATCTTCAATATCATTTATTATTTCATTACATGGTGTTGAGTATAGAGAACTAAAACAAATAAACCCTAAAATTTTCAATACCATTTTAGAGACTAGACAAACCTGTCTGTAGGCATAGTTTCTAATTCCATTTTTCTAGTATTTTAATTTTAACTTAAAAATACTTAATTCAAACCTACTGAAAAATTAAACTTAGCTCATTGTGAATTATTTTTCATAAAATATTTCTAAAATATACATTCCATACTAAATCTGAATCTGAATTGTGAGGTTAGGTTGCTCTTCTTTTCTTAAATAGTTTGTCTTGCCCCCGGTGAGTCTTGCCTTCTGGCCACAGAACACAGTCCGTATTTATAAACAAAACTCAGCTGAGTCCACTGAACTATATATTAAATTGCAAGAACAAAGCCGATCAACAAACTCAAGCCGCATAGGTAAGGTGATATTTGACACTTTGGCGCACACATGTGCGTATCGTAATGCACTAAAAAGGATCATTAAAATTAAATTTAACACCATAGAAAAACTAAACTTATTACATTCAACTATGACACCTTTTAATTTAAGAAAATGACTTAAAAATGATTGTTGATCAATACGCAGCTGAAACAAATGTTCCAATAATAATAATTATTAAAATAACCCGTTATTAATAAAAAATAATATAATTTGTCGTATATAGTACGCCCGTGGAAAACGTGAGTAGAATCGTTGTATGGTAGAATGCTCGATATTGACAGTCTGGCGTCTAAATTGTCATGCGCACCGACCGTTTTTTTCACCTGTCTACTTAGAAATTAGGAGTCAGTCACAATAGGTCTTTTCCTTTGCATCGAAAGTGTAGCACTGAGCTACACCACTTCTGAAAATATCGTTCCATTTATACAAATTGTATGGATGGAACAATATTTTCAGAAGTGACGTAGCTCAGTGCTACACTGTCGATGCAAAGGAAAAGATCTAATCAAAGTATGTGCATCCAGTTTAATATCAAGGTCGGTGGCTGAGTCGGACTTGGCCATCACATAAGGTCTTTTCCTTTGCATCGAAAGTGTAGCACTCGGCTACACCAATTCTGAAGATATCGTTCCATATATACAAATTGTATGGATGGAACGATATTTTCAGAAGTGACGTAGCTCAGTGCTACACTTTCGATGCAAAGGAAAAGACCTATACTTGCAAGCAAGAGTTCCGACACGCCCAACATAAGGCGCGGCCATTTTGAACCCTGTGACACAGTTTACAGCTAAAGAATCAGATCGCTCACTCTGCGTCGGCACTTTGGATCTCAATGTTTCAGTTTATACACTGTGCAACTCGGATAATACAATATATGACAACCGCCTATAATAAAACAGCAGTCTTCTGCGTATCCTGAATTTGTATCCCTGGAGTGGATGTTATTTTGGAACTTTCAACTGGTCCGAGTGAGCTAACTGATTCTTTAGCAATAAACTGTGACTTCAAAAATAATATTCACTGACACTGACAGCAGCAAGCAAAATATCAGGTGCGTTTTAATCATCCGCTTCTGCTTCCGGAATTGTCGGTTAAAACAAGAAAACCGACAATTCCGAAGCAGGGCACCTATCCTCGACTGGTGTTTTAATCAATGCGAATGCGCATTTACTAAATGCGAATGCGTATTTGCTCAAAAGCGTGTTGTAGCTATTCTTGGTCGTTCGAATGTATATTGCGGGTGCGCATTTGACAGCGAGTGGGTTTTTGCTCTTCGCATTCAAATGCGAAGGTCCAAAGAGCTTGCGAAGGTCTAACTGGGTGCACGTTTTAATATTGCAGTGTTTTTGTTTTGTTTCATAAATTGATCGTGACCTATAGGTATGATGGCAAATATATTTTTTTTAAATATCTTATTACAAATTAGAAGAGGCAAATAATCATCCTCGAAGAGTTTATGATGATAGGAAAGCTCCTTTCAGATTTTCTGATCAAGCGTTTATCAGATTGTTTCGGTTAATTATATGTGTCTTTTTACTAATATTTTCCATTTTATAACGCTGCAAATTATGTATAGCCAAACAGTACATCAAAAACAACCCAAAACCACGACTTCATGCTCAAAACCATTACTCATATTAACATTGCTTCTTTTTTGCGAATAATTTTCACAAAACAAGCGGTGTGAACTTTGAGTCCCCTTTCTAGCAGACAATTTAACATAAATAATCGTCGATCATACATGGTTGCCAAGTTGCCATTCGCATTTATAAAAGAGGATTACGAAGGCACAGATACGAAGTGTTAAGAATACGGTTTCTAATGCGTCTTCGCATTGAACCACTCGCATCTCTTCAAAGCGAGCGCTTAAACGCACTGGTCGAGGATAGGTGCCCAGAAGCAGATGATTAAAACCATAGATTATTAAAACGCACCTATTTAAAATATTGCGCCAAGATGTAGGCAACACGTAATAATGGTTCAAAATGGCGGAGTTTTCTATCTCCTTTTAAAAGGCACTCAGAAAGCTGCGCAGTGCGACCATTCTCCGTATAGTAAAAGAAAATCAAAGTATGTGGATACGGACCTTGTACATTAGTAGATCTTTTTCAACACATGATTTACGATTACGTTACGATTAACATAAATTTATGCCTAAAACGAAAAATGTCAAATGTCACCTTTCACGACCCTGTGTTTTTACTGTTTTGTGTAAATGAGAAATGAGGTTATAAAATTATACGTACATGTGTTGTAATTTTGAATGTTTTTGCATTTTTATTGAATTTAAATACATATGAATTATTTAAAATGGGAGACATTGAAAACACTCTTTATGAATATCTTCTAGTTGTTAAACAACCGTCAAAAATCAATACAGAAAATCTGGAAAATGGTGCCGACAACGAAGATTTCAATGTATATTTAACATCTGAAGAAAATTGGAAAGTATTTCTGGACATTCTGGACAACTCATTTGATAGTGTGCAACTGAAAACGCATTTCAATAATTTAGAAGAAAATGAAAGAATCAAAGTTCTAAAATTTGGTGTAGCTTGCATTGTTAGCTTTGTACAGTGTAATTTTACAGGGCCTAATTTACCCAAAGAAGTGGAAGATATGTTGAATAAAGACACCCATAATAAAATAAATTTTTCAAAGTTACTAGCTGTTAATAATGAGGATATAAATGTTAATACCAGATACCCAATTCTTTTGGTTACTGCCAAAATTATCTTCGAATATTGTAATGTAGATAATTTGATAAATAACTGGTGGTATTGGAGGTCTATTTTAGTGCATCAAGAAATTTTAGAAGAACTTAGTCCATCTCTGTTGTCAGATGCTGATCGTCTATATAAACATTTTCAACTAATTCCAGACCTAAATGGTAAGCATTAAATTCGTTTTTTATAATAATAAAAAAAATTTGGTGAGTTTGAGTTCTTTATGAGAAGATAAAACATTAAATTAGATAGATTTATTTCTCATTTTGGACACACCTGTTTACAGTCATCACAAGTAAATGTAAACTATAACATTTAGGTATAAATAAGTAAAATACTTTTCACACAAAACTACACTAATAGAAAGATAAACCTCATATTTATAAATGTTTTAAAAAGACAACTCTTTATTAGTCAAATGTAAACTGTTAGGTATAATGAGCTACTAATACCAAATTTTATAGATAAACCTCTCTGTACCTATAGTTATTTAAATGTATTTGTTAGGATTAGGTGTAAGAGTAGCTACCTTGTCCATGCTAATTGTACAAAATTGATACTCTTTTGTGCAAATAAAGACTATTATTATAATACAGTAAATTAGTTTTTATTTCATTTTATTTTAATCCAAGTAAAAAACAAAAAATAGTGAAAAAATAACCTAAAAGCATTGCTGATAAGATAAGAGAACATTCCAATGTTTTTATAAAATATAGGAGGTACGACTAATATTTAAATATTCTGAATTGTTTTAAGTATAATTTATAACCACCGTAACGTAACTTAACTTAACGCCGTAGAAACTTAACCTAAGATATAAAAATAAAGTCTATTTATAAATGTCCGTAACGTAAGAGTAGAGCATGCGTGTTGATTTCAGAGATTATCAAATTATTGACAACCTTATGAAATAAACAAGTGTAAACTATGTACTTAACCTCTAAATAAAACTTATAAATTATGATTTTGCTATATAGAAAGAATATATTAACTACTTTAAAAGCAATAATATAAAAATATAATAAAACAAAATAGTTTACCGAAGATGTTGATTGTTTTTGAGCAATAATGAGAATTTAATCTTTCCTAGCAAAAAAGTTTTGTCTTATTTCAGTTCTAGACTTGATGTTTATAGGTATATGCAGCTACACTCATATCTCATAGATAGTTTATCCCCAATAACATAAACACAAATCATTCATGATAATGTATGTCCATCAAAAAGGAGAATGATAGTTTACAAATGGTATTTTTCTATTTATTTATAAAAAAAAAATAAAAAGAATAATTGACAGTTATCACATGCTGAACGCAGAATTATCTCATTGGCTAACCGTAAGGTCTTAAGTTAAGTTATGTTGTTAAGTTAAAAGTTGGTGAACTTTCTACGGTACGTTAAGTTCTTAAGTTACGTTACGAACATTATAAATAAGTATACGTAAATTCAATATTTCAACTTCTTACGTTAAGTTCTTAAGTTACGTTACGGCGGTTATAAATTAAGCTTTACAATCCATATCATGTGCAGGCTGATTGCACAGGGATCCAACTTATGCTATTTTCACTTTTATGTTTGGACTGTGTTACAGGATACTGTACAATAATTAAGCTTGTATGTCAATATTAGGCATTTGTTGGTGATGCCTAATGGTTAATGGGACAGAGTTCACCAGGTTTTAGAGATCTGCGGAGAGAAGGATATCTTGAGAAATGTTGGATTGTGGTAGTTTCTTTTTCAATTTTTTTTTATTCTTATACTGTTTGCCATTTTTTAAATCAAAACATTTTACAAATATCTATCAAATCGCCTGCTCAAGGACAGATTATTTCCAAGAAAGAAGGCTTTTTTTATTACATGGTTGCCAAGTCACTAATCAATACAATGTTTTGAATACATATGGGTGACAATTTAAAGACTTGCAAAGGCTATATAATATTAGGAACTAAAGATGATATCAGAAAAAATCTGATTTGTCCAACACATGACTTTCCTATCTAGTTATTATAGGCTTTTTCCGGTTATTTTGTACAACCTATTGCAGCACCTCTATAAATGTTTAGAGGATAAACTAAATATATACTTACATGTTCCACATACATCTAACTCGAAATTTTTTTATAGATATTCATTGAAAACGAAAATACTGAAAAATTTCAATTTAGCACTTTTCCTCCAATTTTGCCATTACGGTCCATTTTAGAAAAATTAGGTTATGTTGCAGTTGAAGGGTCTGGAAATGGGCCAGTGCGCACCATTCCTGTTCCGGCTAGTTCTGCCAGTCGGAATCGTTACGGAGTTGCCAGGTTATATTTAATTATTTGGAACCAGGAAATAAGCAGATTGAAATAACTATTTTACTTTTAATCATCTATTTACCAATTTTTACATCGATTAAAAAACCCATAAAAATAAAAAAATGTTCTGAAGATTTTCAAGTAATTCGATCGTTTTTTAATGTGAATAATACCTTTCAATAGTGATAATTACAAAATTTAAATCTAAAATCTATCAAAACTGTCTTATAAAACAAAACAGAATTGTTATTTCAAAATATAATATAAATCTTTATATTTATTTATCATACATTTTAATGTACAGAGGTTACAATTTGGTTGAAAAATAAACTATAAAATAAAACAAGCTGACATGAAAGTGGAGATTTGGCAACGTGGCTTGTGCAAATTCAAATTCTAGACGTCAGTGCAGAGTGGTGTGAACGCGCGCATTTCTAGACCCGTAAACTACAACATAACCGAAAAATTATGTGAAAACAAAAATTATAGAGGTTGATATCACAAACAACTTTTAGTTTAACAATTTTCTTAAAAATCAGAACATTGCACATTTTGTCAAATTTTTCGAATACGGACCATTTCAGGAAAATTTGACATTAAGCAAAAATTATAGATAATAATATTAGAACAATTTTCTTCTCCAAACATAAATAACAGATATACTCCATAAAATATAAAAACGGCCTCCCATAAAGTATCCCCCAGATGTTCCGACTTTGTCCAAAATCTAACCATTTCACATCAGGTCGAAATAAAACTTAAGTGTAAAATTTAATGTATTTTCCATTATCGGTTTTTGAGTTTTCTTCAAAATTCGAAATTTACACATTTTCTCAAATATCTCGAATACGGTCCATTTTAGAGAAATTATGTATAGGATACAAATTATAGAGAATTATATTACAAACAACTTTTATTTGAACAATTTTTATAAAAAAATATTTTTTTTTTACATTTTGTCAAATTTCTCGAATACCATTTTAGGAAAATTTTGTATACAACAAAAAATATTGATAATATTATTGTAAGTAACTTTTATTTGAAGAATTTTCTTCTCCAAACATAAATAACAGATATATTCCATAAAATATAAAAATGACTACCTGTAAAGTAACCCCCCAGATGTTCCGACTCTGTCCAAAATCTAATCAGTTCATTGGACCATTGGACGCCGGAATAAAGCTTATGTTTAAAATTTGGTGTTTTTCTTTGTATCAGTTCATGAGTTATGGTTGATACAGACACACACACACACAGACATCATCCCGAAAATAGTCAAAACGGATTCAGGGGACCCCAAAACGTAAAAATCCCTTGAAAACTGGAGGTCGAAAAAAATCATGATTCCTATACTTTCCTTATCTGTATACAAATAGGAAAGTAAAAAGGGGAAATTTCAATGATAAAATACAGAACTCATCGCATTAACCTCCTAAGTGCCAAATACCTCAACAACAACAAAAATACCAACCACCTATATAAAGTAAGAATACCAGTAATCGGCGCTAGTAGAACATCTTATGGCGATTTAATGTAATTTTGGATACACTAGTAATTGACACAGTTTTACAAGCTATCACTACCCCAGTTATCAACAGTTTCACTACTTATCAACGCCCCAGTTATCGACACTACAAGACAGCATTAAGGAGTCGAATACTGGTGCCCCATAATACCCCAGAAATGACAAATAGTGTTGAACACTGGAGAATAATATGTGTATGAGTACCCAGTTATCAACATCCCCAAAAATTTATGTTTAAATCCAAGTAAGCAATGAAATTTTACCAAAAACATGTGTTTTAGAATGCAAAGATATCTTACCCGAAATTTTATTCACATATCTTAACTGTTTAAATAGCAACAACCCATTTTATATGGTACTTACCTTAACAAATTTCTTTAAAAAAACGAATTTCATGTGCTTGACACAATGTGAGTCTTTTTTGTCACTTAACTAAAACTGTGACCTTCGAGGGTTTTTACAGTGTTTGCCAGATACATCAGACGACTTTTGTCCTGGCAGAGAATTATTTACAAATTTGAACACATACCCTCATTAGGAGAGTTTGAGTTATAGTGTCAATCACTGGTGCTCTTACCTTACATCATTGGAATTCTAGTAAAAATGCTTTTCAACAATATACTTAAGTCATACCCTATTTAAATTGTCACTCTGTACGTCCTCAAAATTATTATACATAATAATAGAATAGAACTGGAGATTCCTTGGGCTCAAACTAATGCTAATTTTATTTTAGGGAATATTAAAGCAACTCTTGACATTGAAGTAGCACAACTTTATTTGCTATTTAGAAATGTATCCAAAGCAAAAGAACACATTCTATCTGCCATAAAAATTTTAGGACTCCACTATGATCTTGTAGGAGCTTTAGGAAAAAGGACCAAATATCAAGAGAAGGAGCTAGCTCAGTTAGCTTTGAAGGTAATTTAAATTTTAACATCAATGTAGCTGATTTTATATAAATCTAAATATTTACTGATCTAATGAAAAAATTATTTTAAAGATTTTAAATATATTTTTAATTCGGTTAAAATATAAAATTATTATTCAAAAAAATTCATTTTTTTCTATGTAACCTCTTTTTTATATTAGTTCAAAGAACAGCAAGTCTCAACACCACTAGAGCCATAAAAACTACACCAACTATAGTCATGGAAGTCATTTTTAGTCTCACTTGCCTTGATATTTACATCAAGTAGCTTGCTCTATGACGATGACAAGACTCCTCACACTTAGAAAAGCTAGAAGTGGCAGGTATGATTCATATTTACATATCTGCCAGTGTAGTTAAAACCAAGCTTACAGAGATTCTCATAGCAGCAAAAGAAGTTATAGGAAACAATCACTGAAACATGCTCATCTATACAGATAGCAGACAAGCACTACTCACCCTGAACAGGCCACGAATTTACCCAGGGTTAGTACTAGAATGTCTTAAAGCTTTGGCCTAAGTATCCATCAACATTAAGATGAATCATAGGTCAAGATATAAGAGAAGCACCTCTTGGCGACATCAACTGAATTGAATCTGTAGACTGGCCCACGACCTATTATCTTAGAAGGATGCACAATGGCCCTAGTGAGACCTAAGTGCCATGGGGTAACCAAACCTCCACACGTTACAGATACAGATAGGTCAACCAGTGCACAAATATACCTATTTTTACCTACAGATCAAGATAATTTTAATTTCAAAAGAAAAAAAACAAAGTGTTTTAAGTTATGAATAGATTAGGAATAATAAAACTGTAATATTCAGGATTTCCAATTTAGTACTGAATCAAACATCTTTGAGTAAAATGTTTTATATTATTTGTATTTTGTATAAAAATGTTTAATGAGAAAATAAAGTATAGTTATAAAAAAAACAGTAAAACTAAGAAACATTAAAACACTAATCTAATTAGAAAAAAAAAATGTTGATGATTTACTGATTTTGACAATATTCTAAAGATGTATTTTGCTTACTTGTCTAGGTAACTCTTGAAGAAAAAGACATTGAAAGAGTTGAAGCAGATGATAGCGATCTTCCAAAAGACATCCCAATCAACGACGATGTTCGTCTGAATACCATAGAATTTTCAGAAGACTTGGGCGAAAAATGCAAACTGGGAATATTAGAACAAAAGCTTTTCGTTACTATCATCAAAGATATGCTAATATCAAAGCCTCAGGATGAGCTCCAAATTGAAGAAATAATGCCCTTTATTGATACAATTTTAAACCAAAAAAACACATATGCTGTAACAGTCGTTACATTGTTGTTGCGATGTAAATTAGAGAGTAAAAGTCGAAGAACAATAGAGAGATCATTAAGTCAAAGTGAAGAGATTATCAGTAGCTTAAAAAGGGAGAATCCTTCAGCTTTGAATAGAGTATGTGATGTTTTTGGTACAGGTATGCCTCCTATTTGGAAAATAGAGACCCAGTATGCAGATTTGCTGTTGAATATTGGTCTGGTTAAGATTGCTCTTGATATTTATTTGAAAATTAAACTTTGGGAAGAAGTTATTGTTTGTTATACTATTTTAAAGTTAAGGCATAAAGCTGCTGAGATTATACGGGAACAACTCAAAGTTAAATCTACTGTCAAGTTGTGGTGTTTGCTTGGTAAGTTTTTCAATTTTCTGTACCTTATTCATACATAATTTTTAAGAAAACATTTGCTAGAGTAAAGTGATATGGTTAAAAAAAGAGAGAATAGTTTAAAGCTAATTTTTTCCTCATAAGTTGAATATCCGTTAGGTTATTAATAGTGATGGGACTTTTCATAAAAAGTAATTTTTAGACTAGTCCGACGGACATGTCCGGAAAAGTAGTGGAAAGTAATGAAGTCATCATGAAAAGTAATCGACCTTGAGCATAGAAGATACACTGTTAAATCACTATCCTGCATGTTTTTTCATAAAACTTTAGGAACCATATACTTTCAACCTTTGGATTTTTTTGTAATTTTTTCACATGTTTATTTTAATAAGATATGAAACGAAAATTCGAAAACTTCGTTAAAACTTATAACAGTCAGTAATAATTTGTCTTTTCTTCTTTTTTAAAGTATATTTTGTCTTTGTAAGAAATTTAGACAAATTAGTTTATTTAATTTTGTGCATGTGCAATACACTTTTCCACTTTTGAAAAGTGTGTTTGGACTAGTCAACTTTTCAGACTAGTCCGTCGGAATTGTCCCTAGACTTTTACAAGTGACCCATCACTAGCTATTATAGAAATATAAAGTTAGCACAAGCTATGCATACCTTAACTATAATTTTGTGTAATTTTCTTTATGATTTTTTGTATTTATATATTTTTTATTTAAAAGTTGTGCTAGCTTAAACCCAAGATAGTGCAAAGCTGTTATTTAACATATTTCAATAATTGTGCGCATTTGTACTAGACAACAAAATATCTCAAACATTCACAAATCGGAAAAGCTACCATAACAGTATAAATCATGAATCATCTAGCCCAGCGTTTCTTAAACTGTGTTTTGTGAAATTTTTATTATTATATTAATAATTGTGTGTTTTTTGTGCAAGGAAATAATTTAAGTGCTATCTTCAATATCAAGATAGCAAAACTCTGTTATTTATCATGCCATTTCAATTTTCTAACTGACGCCAACATTTTGTGCTTTTACATGCCAATTATATGTAAAATCAACAGTCAATTTGATCAAATAGTCATTCGGTATTTTTTTTAACAAATTAGTGGAAAAATACTTTTTTATGATGTTTACTAATAAAGTATTCTTAATTTTTGAAAAAAACCTACATTTCACCAAAAATTACTTAAAGTTATTTTGATTTTATTAAAAACTGGATTTGTTGAATAGCAATATTTATTTTTTTTATTGACATATTTTTCTTATGGATTTTTCCAATTAACGATAATTATTCTTAAACAAATGGAAATGCCAATTTTTAATGAGGCGTAAGTCGAAAAATGCCTAATTTGAATTAAGCCCTCCCCAAATCTGTTAAAGTGGATATATTTGATGTGATAAAGGGGCGTATTTTTTGGGCATTCTTTTAAATGAAATTAATACATACAGAATATTTCCTGTAGGAGGAATGACGTCATCGATATTTTTTTTAATGGCAACCCACTGTATACAAACTATGTGTGATATAATTTTGAATTCAACTTTCCATGGCGATTCCAAAAATTGAGTAATATATAGAGAGTCTCATTTAAAAATTTTCGCTGACGTCATTTTTCACATGTTCATCATTTTTGTCTAAAATGTGGCAAATTGAAATTAAAAATTGACGTGTTTCGGTAATCCTTAAAAATTGATATTTTGGCTAAAAATAAATTTATTCCATATTTTATGGACACACTTTATAGCTTCTTAGTATTATTGAAGAGATCGTAAAATACACTTTTTACCTTCAATATAACTCCTTCTTTTTATTTTAGGTGATGCTACAGATGATATTTCATGTTATGAAAAGGCTTGGGAAATGTCCAAAAAGCGCAGCCATAGAGCCCAAAGGCATTGGGGTCAGTTTCTTTTTGTCCGCAAACAATATGAAGAATGCATTCCACATTTTGAAAAATCCTTGAGTATCAATCCATTGCAGGCCAATATTTGGTTTCGGTTGGGCTATGCAGCTCTCCAAACTGAGAATTGGCAGACAGCAGCTACAGCCTATAGGCGCTACACAACTCTAGAACCTGAAGCATTTGAAGCGTGGAATAATTTGGCTCAAGCTTACATTAAGATTGGAAATAAGAGAAATGCACATCAGGCTATATTAGAGGCTTTGAAATGTAACTTTGACAATTGGAAAGTTTGGGAAAATTTGCTTGTCATTAGCTGTGACATTTCTAATTTTGGAGATGTTATCAGGTCATATCATAGCTTACTAGATCTTAAAGAGAAGTACCTAAATGTTGAAGTATTGAACGTTCTGGTCTACAATGTATGTAATGATATAAATGATTGTGAGGGACAGCCGTCTCAACGATTTTTACAAAAAACAAGAGAATTGTTAGGAAGAGTTACAGCAATATATCCTAGCGAAGGTTATGTTTGGGAGTTATATGCCAACTTGGCTCCAGCTATTCTTTTGAAAGCTCAAAGGTTGCAAAGAGCCTACAGGGGCTACACACAAGGTGCCTGGGACAAAAATCCAACCACCTGCCAGCAGATGTTGTATGTTTGTATCAAACTAGCAGAAATTGTACTGGATAATGAAATTGATCCAAAAGACTCTCTTATCAATTCCATTCGATTAAATTTGAGCTCTGCAATTGCCGCTATAAAGAAACAAGATTGGGAGGAGACACGTGATTTAGTTGAACAAGTTTCTGGACATTTAGAAAAAATTATAGAGAAGATTAAAAGTGACACTAGCAAAGTTGCTAATTGAATTAGGTTAAGTTTTTCCAATTTGTTTATTAAATATTTTTAAAAAGATCTCTTTATCCTGGTTGTATTTATTGTATTTTAAATCGTTACAGGTGAAAATAAAAGTTTCTTCTTTGTAGATGTATCAATTTTGTTCAATAAAATTAACTAGGTTCCTAATAATTTTAATATACACTGTCCTAATATTTAAGGCAAGTAAGTAACTCCTCAAAAGAAATAACTGTCATTTCTCAAGATATTGAAAAATGCGTTTTTTTACTACTTTTTCATAAAACTATTAAGAAAAAATGGAGAGGTAAAAGTGGTATTCATACCCAAACCTGGAAGGATGGATTACACTATCCCAAACACATACCGACCAATTGGTCTGACATTGTTTTGCATGAATACATTGTAAAGGCTAGGCGAAAGGTATATAAGGGATGCAGTGATTGAAACAACACTACACCCAAACCAACATGCATACACCCAAGGCAGATCTACTGATTCAGTCCTTCATCTAGTTGCTGGCCGGATAGAGAGATCCCTGGACAATAAGGAGTCCGCCTTGGGTGTTTTTATAGACATAAAAGATGCTTTTGATAAAACCACCTTCCCCAAGATAATACACTCGCTAACCAACAGAAATGTTCCACAGATGGTTAGTGGGTGGATACATAATAAATTCTCAAAGCAAGCAGTAAACATAAGTGTAGAAAATGTGGATATAAGAGGCTTGGTTGCAAGGGGATGTCCACAGGGAGGGGTGCTATCATATCTACTGTGGAACATGGTCCTCAATACCCTCGTCAGCCACCTCAATAATGACGGTCACTACACAATAGTAGATGACCTGGTCATTCTGCATACAGGGAATTTTGAGAACATACTCTGCGAAAGAATGCAAGTAGCTCTCAAAATTATAGAACAGTGGTGCAAGGACCATTCACTGTCTATCAATCCTAAGAAGACAGAAATGGTAATTTTCACAAGAAAAAGGATAAAAATGGAATTAAAACCTTTGCAACAGAGGTGAAGTATCTACGTCTCACCTTTGACATCAGGTTAACATGGAACTCGTATTTAGAAAACGGTCAAAAGAGCATACCTTGCTTATGACTAATGCCGCCGAACCGTGGGGCGCACCTGGGGTTTCTCCCCAGAGTCGTCGCATGAACTTACACGGCTATCATAAGACCTATGCTAACATACGGTGCAGTTGTCTGGGTACCGAAAACCCAAAAATTGACAGCTATCCATAAACTAGAACAATTTCAAAGAACAGCATGTCTCAACATAACAGGAGTCGTGAAAATAACACCGGCCAAAGCCATGGAAGTCATTATTAGTCTTAAGTCCCCTTAATATTTACATCAAGGAGGTTGCTCTGACGATAATGACACGACTCCGCACGGTTGGAATAGAACCTGATGTAGGTTCTGGGAACATACTCATTTATACAGATAGCAGATAAGCATTACTCACCCTGAACAGACCACGAATTTACTCAGGGTTAGTACTAGAATGTCACGAAGCTTTAGCCGAAGTATCTATCAACAATGTGGTCACCTTAAGATGGATCAAATATTACGCCATATCGAAAGGTAACCGTCTTGCTGATTCACCGTCCAAGAAAGCAGCCAACCAAATACTTTTTGGACCTGGTGTAATAGGTATAACAAAATGATTATAAACATAACTATTAATTGAAAACTGCACAAAAACACTTTCGTTTTTTTAGGCAAATCATTTGTAAAATACTTTCACCTTTGGGTTTTTCAGTCATTTTTCAACGTATTTATTTTAATTAACAAAATTAACCACTACTAGTTTCGCTGGGCCATTTTTTTCTCCAACTTTTTTATAGTGGTGCGTGAGTGGACGTATGACTTATTTTCCTATAACTCCATTTATTATTAAAGGGTACTCTGATATATGTCCAACGAATTCACCAATGCGGGGCTTAGTTATACGCATTGCAAGTGGTACTTGCCTCTCACAAATTTAACTTATTTTCTTAAGATTTGTATTATGTTTGTTTGGCGATAGGTGCTCACCTATAAGAAATATTAAATCCTCCACCAATTTCGCTGGACTATTTTTTCTCTCGAACGTTCTAATGTAGTGGGTGAGTGGACACGCACATGATTTTCAAAACTGGACGCTTGTACCAAAACAAGATAAAATGATAGCTTCTCACTGAATTAGTATTCGATAAAAATACTGATTTTTGTTTAAATCCGCAATTTTATTGTTTGCCCCTCAATTTTGTTTTACTTTAAATTCTATACTTACTGTATTTGGCCTTTTCCTTCTAGTAGCAGTAGTGATCGTCTAGTTAATTAATTGATAATTTATATACCCATGTTGTGATAATGTTAATTAAGATAAACCAGGATCCGTTGCAAAGTTTGGTGCAACTTGGTAAATAAAACCATACAAATTTATATTTAAACCCTTTTATTTTCATACCTTAAATGTAATGCAATAATTAGAAGAGTATATTACAATTGGTAATATTTACGGAGATCTCACTCAAACGCGGACCAACGGAATTAACGAACAGCGCCAATTCGCCAGTTGGTTAACTTACATGCAGTGTTGATTAGAGTGTCTCAAAAAAACCGACTATTTTTTTTCCAAAGAACATTGAAAATTCGTCAGAGTATCTCTAGAAAATGACCCTGTGAAAATATGAGCCCTTAAGGCGGCGTTAGCAAATGTATTAGCATAGGAGAATTTTTCAACACATAAGACAGGCTTTCTAGACAATGAATTTATGCGGATTTGCTTTTATAATATTCTAATAGTATTGAACTAGTTCCTGAATATATTTTAAAGTGGAAAAAATTGAGAGAATGAAGAAAATAACGAATTTGTGAAAATTTTACATGTAAAAAAGTCATCATAAATCGCTATAAAAACTATTTCAGGAACTAGAATATATTCCCATTAGAGGCTCCGCATAAGAAATATTTCATTTTTTGCTTTCATTTTTCAGTCTTATATGCACAAAAATTTTTAATTTTAACCCAAAAAACGCAACCAACATTACATAAAACAGGTGTAATCCCTGTAATTTTAGGTTCAGGCAATCTTATATAGATGACGCCACCTGAAAATATCAAATTTATATCGAGCAACGTTGTCATATTGTTATGAAGTATCGGAAGCAAGGAAGTTCGTTATTTTATTACAAAAATTAGGTAAATTGTGTTAAGTCTGGTTTTGGAGAAACATTTAAAACGTGTAGAGATTTTGTAAAATGTTTCATTTTTATATTACAAAATATAAGAACGTAATTTGTCAGATATTAAATATAATGTTGAGTTTTGTTTTTTCTGGCTGGATTTACGTGAAAATTGGAACAAGATGCATGTGAAAACATCGATCCTGGCCTTTCAAATGCATTTGTGGGTTCACAAGTTAGTTGAGAAGAGTTAAAAGGAAGAGCAAACTTTTAAGCCAATTTATATTCTTAAAATCAACTGAAAAAGTACTTAAAATATTTATTGAAAATACAATAAATTTATCACTGATTATTGCAGCATAGTTTAAATTTTATTATTATTATTATCTCTTCTGTATTTTTGTTTACATTGTATGTTTTTTTACTTTCCTATCTGTATACAGATAAGTATAGTAATCATGATTTTTTTCGACATCGATTTTTTGACGGATTTTTACATTTTGGGATCCCCTGAATCCGTTTTGACTATTTTCGCGATGCTGTCTGTGTGTGTGTCTGTATACTCGATAACTCATGAACGGATAAACAGAAAAATACCAAATTTTAAAATTAAGTCTTATTCCGGCCTGCGGTGAACTGATTAGATTTTGAGTACAGTTGGCACTTGGGGGTACTTTATAGGGGGTCATTTTTATATTTTATGGAATATATTTGTTATTTACGGTTGTAGAAGAAAATTCTTTGAATAAAAGTTAATTCAAATATTTTCTACAATTTTTGTTATATACAAAATTTTGCTAAAATGGTTCGTATTCAAGAAATTTGACAAAATGTAAAAAAATCAAATTTTTATGAAAATTATTTATATAAAAGTTGTTTGTGATACAATTTTCTATAATTCTTGTCTTATACATAATTTCTCTAAAGTGGACCGAATTCGAGATATTTGATAATAAGTGTAAATTTAGAATTTTGAAGAAAACTCGAAAGCGGACAAAGAAAAAACATTATTTGTTAAATTGAAGCGTTATTCCGACCTGTGGTGAATTGATTAGATTTTGGACAAAGTCGGAACATCTGGGGACGGGGTTACTTTATGGGAGGTCGTTTTATATTTTATTGAATATATCTGTTATTTATGTTTGGCGAAGAAAATTCTTTAAATAAAAGTTACTTTTAATATTATTCTCTATAATTCTCACTTTTTACAATTTTTTCCATAAATGGACCGTATTCGAGAAATTTGATAAAAGGTGCAAATTCTGATTTTTAAGAAAATTGGTAAACTAAAAGTTGTTTGCAATATCGATCTCTATCATTTTTGTTTTTTACATTATTTCTCTAAAATGGACCGTAATAGAAAAACTGGAGGAAAAGTGTAAAATTAAATTTTATCAGTGTTTTCATTTGCAGTGAATATATATCGAAAAATGTTTCAAGTTAGATGTATGTAAATGTATATATTTAGTTTATCCTTTAAACATTTACAGAGTTGCAGCAATAGGTTGTACAAAATAATCGGGAAAAGCCTGTAATAACTAGATAGGAAAGTCATGTGTTGGACACATCAGATTTTTTCGTAAATGGTTAATTTAAGGTCAATAAAATAAATTATTACTATTACTTATTATTGACCGTCTTCACCGTCGTCAAACATGTTTTGCTTACAACTGTCAACAGTATCAATCGCTTCACTGCTTTTTAAATAATGATGGATAAATAATGGAGCGAATAGATTATGCTTTTATCCTTAAGGCCTACTTAAGCATAAAAGCATAATCTATTTGCGCCACCACAAACAAGAACAAAATGAAATTTAATAAACAAACTCAGTTGATCAACTGCTGGGTAACGTGTAATTACCTATAAAAACACTAAAAAAACACAAAACAAAACAATGATAACTAACAAATAAGCTCAGACTGGATGAACAAAGAACTACTTAATAATATACGAATCAAAATAGATTCAAATGTTTATATTACATTGTCCTAAAAGTTTTATTCTGGTTCATAATAGTATATTATTAAACGAGCAATTTATGGTAGCCATTATTCACGCAGGATGACGTTTGCGTCCCGAGCCGTAGGCGAGGGGCGCAAGTCACCCGAGTGAATAATGGCCATAAATTGCGAGTCTAATACTATACTTTGTCCACGACCATTATGGTTTCTTTATTAAATAAAAGTTAAGTGTAGAATGGAAAGTTTTTATTAAACATAGATAACTAACTGTTGTTTTTTCCACTTTTCAATTTTTCGATTTTTTGATCTAGAAAATATCGTTATGAAAAGTATCGCCTATCTTTAGTTATCTACCGGAATGTGCCAGAATTACAAAAGCGTGAATTATCATAATTCACTCCGTGATATATGGGTACTATATGCTTTTAGTTAGGAGGTAGAATATTGATTTATTATTAAGTGGTCGTGGACAAAATTATTTAAATACGGTCCCTATAGGTTCGATATTCTAATGTTATAGTGTTTGTCTCGTCCGGCGGTACAATAAAATGTTACGAGCACTTTAGATTTGGGAGGGAGGGGACGCTTGTCGGGTCGCCGGAAAGTAGTTTACACAACTTGGCAAACAGGCAGGTATAATTCAACATTTGAATTATTTCGCAGAAGTGCATCTAATCGCCATCTATTGACAACTTAGTTAATTTGTAGTTTTTGTTATGAATTTCCTGGCGTGCAAATTCCGTCTTAATATTAATATTTAGAGGTGGCGTTTTGTAATTTTCTATTTCCCATTTAAATAACATGGGAATTTTTTTTTAAACTTTGGAATTTTGTAACATGATAACGAGCTACTTTATAAGTATGACTATATTACCCCTTATAGGAAATTTAATGCTCTACAAAAAAGGTCTGATTGACTTTTTGCGTAAGTCAAGCTGTTTCAAAGATATCACCCAAAAATATTGTGGTCCGTGTAGCATAACAAGTACAGCTGGTTTAGTTAGATATCACACAAAAAAGGGCTAGCAAACGTATCGAATAAAAAAAACTTCAAATCTCACACTTTATTTTAACACCTATTTACATAAAAAAATTAATATGTATATTTAAAAATGCACATAAATTTTCTTTTACAATTCATTTTCCGATGATGGTTCTGTACCAAAATATCGATCGCCAAAATTTCCAATTCCTGGTAGTACATAAAACTTATCATTAATTTCCGGATCTATGGCCGTGGTAACGATTTGTACTTCTGGAAAGGCATAGGCTATAGATTGCACTCCTGATTCTGCCATCAGCAAAGAAACTATAAGGATATTACTTTCTAGAACGTCATGATCCAATAAAACTCTGATTGCCATCATGGCGGCTGCGCCAGTGGCAACTGTTGCATCCATTAGAATTACTTTGTAGTCTTTGATATCTTTGGGCAGTCTTAGGTAATAGAGCTGAAATATTTCAATTTTAAATTAGGGAGTTGTCAACATAAATTAAGTGTAATCTAGTTTCATTATTTGTTTTAATACTTTCATGCACACATTTTTTGTCGGTATATTTACGTGACCCCCTGTATACACATTTATTTCCCTAGCTTCCGTATTATGCATGCTCCATTTTTATTGAGTAGTCATCCCCACAGTTTTTTACACCATTTCAATGACACCCTATAGATATATTATATCGAAGTTGAACGAGCAAAATAAAAATAATTCAATTTTATATGAGGAACAAAAAACTGTTTCGTTTATAAGATATTGGACAAAACTTTCAGAATAAAAAACGTCAACATTAATTTTGTTTTATTTTTAACAAGCAAAAATTCTACAGTATTTTTTTACTTTCCTGTAACCAGTAAGGATAACATTTTTTGTTTTCGACTGAACTTTAGCTTTTGGGGAACCTTTCTGTGTGTGTCTATGCATCCACGATACACAGGTAAAGATAAAAACACTAAATTTTAATCCATCCTAGGGTAAGCTGGTTAAAACATGATTTCTCTAAAATAGACCGTAACAGAGAAATTTGATGATAAGTGCAAAATTTTAGTATTTTAATTGGTAAATGAAGATATGAAAAAATATTTCAAATAAAAAGTGTGAGGAAAATTTCATGGACCATACTCAATATTTTTGATAACTATGGTGTTGCAGCTTTTACTCAAGAAACTGTATGTTGAACATGAAAATGAAATTTATTTTAGTTGAAAAATCAGATGGGACATATTACATTCTCATCTTCGATATTAGTTTTTTATTTTTCGAAAATTGGCTAGCATCTAGTTAAGAAATATCTGTCTCTGATCTATATTTTACTATAGTCACAAAAGTAAAAATCTAACCATCATAGGTTAGATGTTTTACATGACATTTGATTTGAGTTCAGGCAATAATAAATATTTGGATATGTTCAAATAAGAAGGGTTATACAGATTTTCCAAAAAAAGTTGTCCACATGATACGTTTGTTTTTAAATCATTGTTCTTTCCTTAAACTTGGAATCATTTTTTGAAATGGTATATGATGATGCATATGAATCAAAATATCACTCAGATAAATTACATACTCCTATCAAGCAAAGTAATGATAAAATTACACACTAGAAAAAGCAACAATAAGTGCATTCTTTTTCTATGATCACACTGAATACATAAAAATTTAAGCAAATTTATTTAAGCCATATTTGATTGGTCTCTTTGGTTTAAAAATGTTTTCAACAACTTTTAGAACCAGTTTTAATACTACGTCATAAATTTTGAAAGCGCTCAAATAAATGATTTTAAAACAGTGATGTCACTGTTAAGTTAACGATTTGTGAGTTTGTAAATCTGTAGCAACAAATAATTTTTGCTTCATATGTCAAAGAGAACCTCATGTAATATTACCAGTTTTATGAAAAATCGATCATTATATTTAGAATCTGACTTTAACCAGTTATTTAGAATTACAAGGTCAAGTTTTCAAACATTCTTTAAAATTATAAACCATAAATATGCATTTTCTATCTTTTCTTATATTATAAATAATCTTTGCTATCCTCTATTATGTTTGATATTTTTGACATTAATGACATTTATATTTCTTCGAACCGTTCTTAATGAAACGTTTCAAAAACACATGCAGCTGGTTTAACCCTAATTTAATGTGACGTCATTGGTCACTCGAAAGGGAATAGTTCAAACCGTTTTCAAATAGCATGAAATATATTTAAATCAGTCGACCGCTCGAATATGGCTTTAATATGCGTTGTATTAGTGATAACGTAAAAAATGAGCCAAACATCATTGTTTATAGAATAAATATCTAGTTTTAGGACTAAGTTTTGAAATATATTCTTAACCCTCCATACCCACACTGGGGTATGATATACCCGAGCAACGTTTTGTACAGATGGCATTTATTTTCCAGTTTGGAAGTAATACCACTAGGATAAATTCAGGTAGTTCCCGCCACATTCTTTAAGGAAGGTTTAGTCTATAATCCTCAAAAGAATAGGTATCTTACATTCCAGTTGGTTTAATATTGTTTATTTTCTTGCGGTAGGATCTTGAAGTAGTGGCAAGTTATACATTTTCAAATTACATATGATATTGTGTTGACACCACGGTATTTCATTTTTACATAGAAATGGTTTCCACTTCTCGGCTTTTGAGCGAGAAACAATTAGAACACACGTTTCTTGAATCTTCCGATGAAGAGAATGATAATGAATTATTTTGCAGTAAAAATTCTGATAAGTATTTCAATTATGTCGAAATTTAACCTGATGCTGAAATTAAGTAAAGTAGTGAAGAAAAAATTCCAAAGACTAAGAAACTGAAAAGGTGGATATAAGTGAAGCTATGATTTACCCGAAAGACGTCAAAGACAAAATTTTGTATATAGTTACACTAAATGAATAGTTTATTTAGATTACATTTAATATTTTCATTTTTAACACGAAGTTTGTTTTACAAATTGTCTTTTACCTTTTTAAGTCAATAAAATAGCATTTAGTCATGTTTTTTAGTTTTAAATGTATATATGTTTATTAAAGGTACCATCAAATTTTTAATGTCAATTATTATGTATAAATAAGCTTGGGGTGGCGTATACTCCAGGGTTAAAAAAGGTATACAACATTTGTGTTAAATAATCGTTTAGTAATCAATTGTGTAAAACTAAGTAAAAATAGAGGTTAGGTATCGATATATATTATTTGTAAAATTGTATTCATGTAAAAGTACATCACTATTTTATCTACAATAAAAACAGTTTAGTTATATACTTTTAAACCACTTTTTTTCAACCCAGAACTTATGCCTTATAAAAAGTTTAATGGAAACATGTACATAACAGCTCCCATTGATACAACTTCGACTTCCGCTTACCCCACTATATACATTAGACACAGATTTATGCACCAGTAGCGACAGCAGTCTTTGCCAGATATGTGCATGTTGATATTACCCCTTGGTCAAATCATTGTAGGGTATATGTTAATTTATAAAAATTCCACAACTAAATTTTAAAATTCAAAGCGTTTTTGTCAAAATAAGTGACAGAATGGTTTTTTGTTTGGCTCACTGACGTCACATTAATGCGACGAATTGTCAACAATAAACCAATATTAAAAAAAAAAAAATGAAAGCAAGATATACGCTGCCTACTCAATGATTTTTTTAGTGATGAAAAGAGCTATTTCAAGGAAAAGCCTTTATTACAAAAAAAATATTGATGTTTATTTTATCAACATAACTAACACTGCAGCCAACAATCCCATTGCACACATGTACGTAAGAATGCATTTATAATAATGATCATAATTATTAAGTATTAAACATACCTCTGGTTCTCCTGTTTGAAGATTAGTCTGGATCAATATTTTACCTATTCGAATATCTTTACATACATCACATACAGCTTGTTCCATTGTTTCCCCAGCTCTTAGGATTGAAACGCCACAAAGTTTACTCGTCGCCATTTTCTTACCTAAAATAATTTTTTATTAGAGTACTGGGCAATTTAATTTAAATAAGAAAAAATCCTGAACCGATATTGCAATAGAAAATATTGATATATTTTTTTAACTCACCATGGTAGTGTAATCCCTGTGGTGTCTCAATTGTCCTATCTACGAAGCTCATCAAAGACAGTGTGTACTCTATAACTAACCTTATTAATCTTTTGCTATAAAATATAAATTCATCTCTAGGTGTATCCTTATTTCTGATAAACGTGTGTAAACCACGAATCTGTGGAGTAGTAGGTAAAAGTCGAACTGTATCCGGCCTGGGCATTTTAAATTGTTTATTGACTGTATATGCTTGAGCCAGTTCTTCTCGAAGTTTGAGACCACGCTAAAAATTTGGTCATCTTAATATCCTCTTATTTACTCATTAGAAATAATTATATTTTTAGTTAATGTTAGACACATGATAAATTATTTTTGAATTGTTCTTCTTAGATTTATTGTGTCATTTACTAATAATTGGACTATTTATAAATAAGTCTAAATATACCAACTAATTTTTGGACACTCCTAACACTTACCAATTGTAGCTGTGTCTGGACATGTTGTACTATCAACTGAATAGCTACTTCGTTTTCGCCACCTCTAGGAACTATAATGTCAGCATGACTCATTAATGGCAAAATATAATGGTTAAATGAAGGTTGTACCATCGACGTATATTGTTTAAGTACTCCATCTAAGTCTCTGCCTCTACAAAAACATGCCGACACATTTTTATTTATCAAATACTTTCTCTCTAAAAGGTCCATAGTTGGACAAAAAATAATTATAGATTGTTAAAAGTTCTGCTTATCACAATAGATTTTTTAAGAGATGATAAACCAAAACTGATATTAGAGACAGTATTGATCCGACAAAAATGGCCATTAGAGTTGAGAATATCAGAGAAGGAGGAGAAGGATCAGTAATCATTAACTGCAGTAATGCGGGTACCAAAGAAAAAATAAAAAATAAAGTAGAGAGTGAATTTGGTAGTAAATATCAAGTCGAAGATGGAAAACAAAAAAATCCAAAAGTTATCATCTGTGGAGTGGAAAATGAATATATAGAAGGAGAGGATAAAGATATATTGAACGCTCTAAAAAATCAAAATGATTTAAATCTAAAGCAAGACTCAGTAATGAAAATCATAACGAAGTTTAAACAAAAAAATAGACCAAACAAGGGAAATATTATTCTCCAGGTTGAAGTAGATCTAAGTAAGAAAATCTCTGAATATGGACATTTGAATATTGGTTGGAGGCGGTGCTTAGCAAATGAATATTACATATATTGTCAGATGCTTTAAATGTGGTAGATATGGCCATACCCAATCAACATGCCAGAATAGAATAACATGTTACATTTGTGCGAAAGCTCATTACAGCAAAGAATGTAATAATACACTAGAAAAGAAATGCATCAATTGCCTAGAAACCAACAAAAGGCTGGGAAAAACTTTGAAAACTGACCATTGTCTTACTGATCCTGAATGTCCTTGTTTCAAACGGCTTGCTGAGTTAGAAATTAAAAAACTAAGAAGGCGTAGCAACCAACGGAAGATAAAGAATCCACTAACGATGAAGAAAATAGTGCTCTACTAGTATCAATCAACTAAATGTATCTGTTAGCGAACTACAACCTCAATTCGTAGCAGTCAGTGAACTTTGGCAAACTGTTCATAGTATTGAGGCATATCCCCTTGAAAATTACAAAATTGTATCATATTTTTGTCGGTCAAACGAAGCTGCTCACGGTGGCGTAATGTTATATTCTCGATGTGATCTCATGCCCATTATAAGAAGTGACATAAATGCTCTGTCAAAAGAGTATATCTTTGAATGTTGTGCTATTGGATTTGTATTGAACTATCGGCAATATGTATTATGTATCATTTACAAGCCCCCTACAACTAGCTTATATATTTTCCTGAATTCATTAGACCAAATGTTGGAAATTGCCTCACAAGGAAATAACTACATGCTGGTTGCAGGAGACTTTAATATAGATATGCTAAGTAAATCGAATTTAAAACACCAGACCATGTTAAAAAACATGCTAAACATTTATGATATGAAAGTTAGTATTTGGGAACCAACCAGAGTTACACCGACATCATCTACTTGTATTGATAACATTTATATATCTCAAACAGTGTGAATGTCCTAAATACAAATCTTTCAGATCATAAAGGTCAGCGGTTATGTGTATTGACTGAGAAACAAAAGCCGGAGAATGTAACTGAGGTAAAGCGTTCTTTTCAGTAAGCAAAATTATGATTAATTTTATGAGTTACTACAAAAAGAAACTTGGCTATGTGTGTATGAAGTAATCACTATAGATAGAATGTATAACTGTTTTATTAAAATTTTCCTCCAACACTTCAACGAGGCCTTCCCATTGAAGAGGGTAACGCATCAAAAACATAAAAAGAGTAAATGGCTGTCTAATTCCATTCGCGAGGCAAAAAATACTTTAATTTATTTTCAGAATTGTACATACAAAGGCTTATTAGTAAAGAATATTTTAACGCATATAAAAGGTATTACCCTAAACTGCTGCTATCTGAGAAAAAACATCTTTACAACAAAAAAATTAATGAATCAGATAATAAAGTAAAGGCTATTTGGAACGTTATTAATACGGAACTGGGCAGGTCTAATAAAAACTTGGCTACTTTCAATAGAAAAGTTGAGACCAAATTATAACTTCTCCTAAACAAGCCTGCAATAAATTTAATAATTATTTTAAAACAGCTGCTTCACAAATTCTAGGAGACCTAGATATGGACAATGTAGATAAAAATAGAATACAACAACATAATCCACAATCTATATATCTAGCAGATGTGACAATAGAAGAGCTATAGGAAATAATAAAAAAAATTAAAAAACAAGCTGTCTGCAGGTGAAGATGATATTCATAATGTGCTTATTAAAAATGTCGCTTCATATATTCTTGAGCATTTATGTTACATAATAAATAATTCATTTCAGAAAGGTGATTTTCCATCAAAACTAAAATCTGCAGTGGTGAGACATATTCTAAAAAAAAAGGAGATCCATTCCTTATGGAAAACTATAGACCTATAAGTTTGCTAACCAGCTTCTCAAAAATTTTTGAAACTGAAATGAGTAAACGCCTTACTAAGTTTCTTGCTACGAATGGATTTATTACCTCTACTCAACATGGATTCCAAAGAGGAAAATCTACAACTACAGCAATTGTTTCCTTTGTAGAACGCATTTTACATCACCTAGATAATGGCTGTATTGTGCATGGTGTATTTCTAGGCTTGTCAAAAGTCTTTGATTGTGTAGACCACCAATTACTATTAAAAAAATTATACGTTATCGGCGTACGTGGAATTGCATATGATTGGTTTAAATCATATCTGAATGCAAGGACTCAAAAAGTCTGTCTGAAAACAAATAGTGGACTCTTTTTATCAGAACAAGAATCGATACATACGGGTGTACCACAAAGAAGTATCTTAGGTCCTTTGCTATTCCTCCTCTACATTAATGACCTATCAAATGTGATAGACTTGTCTTCTGTAACACTAACAAATTATGCAGATGATACTAACATTTTAATAGCCAGTACCGATTATGAAAGTCTGAAACACGATACCATGCACATATCAATAAAGGCAGAGTGGTTTCTAAAAAATTTCTTAGTATTAAATATGTCCAAAACAAATTGTATCCTGTTTAAACACAGCAGAAATAAGAACGATTATGAAAATGCTATAAATCTAAACAGCACAGAAATTAATTATGTGAGCTCTGCAAAATTTCTTGGTGTGGTAGTAGATGAGAATTTGGGATGGTCTTGTCATGTTGGACAATCTCTGTGGTAGGCTTAGTAAGATTTGCTTTGCTCTGAAAGAATTAGCTAAAGTTGTAAATCAAAACACTTTGAGGTCTGCCTATTTCGGACACTTTTATTCCATTATGTGTTACGAAATCATCTTCTGGGGTGGTTCTCACAATTACGAGGCTTTGTGATACAAAAAAGAGTATTGAGAATATTAACTGGGTTGAACTTTAGAGATTCCTGTCGAGGGTTTTTTCGACAATCAAATCTGATGACGGTTGTTGGGGCATATGTATATTTTTGGTCAAACACATAATACACGCGGAGTAGATAGTTTTGTAGTACCAACGCATAAAACCACACTATTTGAAAAAGGATGCTAATTTAAATGCATACAATTTTATAATATGTTTCCACGCTATATAAAAAAAAATTAAAAATGTAGACAGCTTTAAGTCAACCATTAGAAATATCTTAATTGATATTGAGCTCTACTCACTAGATGATGTTACAATCTTAAATATTTTAAATTCATGTAATAAGTTAGGATTAGAAATAAGATATGATCCTTTTTAGCTGTTTAGTAGTTTAGTTTTTTTTTCTTCTTTTTCTACCTATCAGTATTAATTTTCTGTGGTGGTAAACAGTATGATTGATGTAATTACCAATTGCAAATTATGGCACTATGGGTTTTGCTAGGTTTTCCTCTAGTCTCGGTAAATACGCCATTCTTACTCGGTAAGTCGACCTAGCTCGCACGTTAATAATTAATTATTAATAACAATACTACATCTTGCAGATGGTATTTTTGCATCATCTATTTTAATTTTTAGCTTTATCTTTATGTAATATTTAGTTATGGATATTGATGTGTACAACACAATACACTTTGTATATTATCCCTAGTACAAATAAAAGAATTTGAATTTTTGAATTAAACCATCAACATTGGTAACTTTTATAGTGTCTCAATTAAAATTAACAGATTTTAAAATGTTTACCTTTGACTAATATCTCTTCTTAAACGACGGGCCAATCTTACATCAGGATCTGCGTCGACAAATATTTTCATGTCCAACATTTCATTGACTTTTGAATTGTGAAAAGTAAGAATACCTTCAAATATTATGACATTTGCTCCATACATTGTTTTCTAAAAAAATAAAAACTTAATTAGAATATGGCTGGGACAATTTTTACGTAGAAAAGTACTGTAGAAGTTTAACCTACTGTTTTAGATTCCCTAGCATGTGTCAGGAAATTATAAATAGGAACTTCAACTTTTCTACCTTCTTTAAGCCTCTGTAAGGTAGTGATTAACAGATCAAAGTCAAAAGCATCTGGGTGATCAAAATTGTACTCATTTCTATCTGCTATATTATGTTGTTTTTCATTTAATACTTTATAGAACGAATCCATGCTAAGTAACGTGACCCAAGGAACTCCCAGAGACTCGATTATTTTTTCGGCAACTGTTGTTTTTCCTGACGCACTGCCACCACATATTCCTAAAAAACGATGAATGGCTTTCAAAATAATGTTCTCACACAAAATTTTAAATGATTCATTTTTAAAATACTTTAACTAATAAAACCATATTTTATACAGGGTGTGTACGAAAATGTGTTTCTTCGGGCATAGGTATTTTGCATGATTTTTCCTTAAATTACTCCCATTTGCAAAAATTGGATATTTAGAATAAACCGAGAAGATTTTGAAATAATTATAAATTTTTCTAATTCTAGAAAATAAAAAATTGAAAAACGTTTTAAAACAAATATCGCCAAATAAACGAATATATTCAAATTGTAAGTTGCACATTTATAGCACTCTTACATAATTCATATAAAACATTTGACCTATGAATTTGTGATGATGTTTATTTATGTAAATATCCAATATTTTATAAATAACCTATAGTTTTATAAATTGTATTATTTTATGCTTGTTTTTTAATATTGGAGTGTTTGGATTTCATGAAATTAAATCAAAATATTTACACTGATATTAAAATAGATCAATATCCAAATATTATTTACTATTTTAATAATTAAACCGAAAACAATTATAATACAAATTGAAAGTGCAAATAAAGAGACTAAATATGTTTTCATCGGTAGACTCAAGGGGACAGGCAAAGGACCAATATATTTTTTCATTGACATGTTTTAAAGGTAAAGGGACCAAATTTGTTTTCATATGAAAGCTTAAGATGGAAAGGACACATATTTTTACATAAATTAAATTATGATCAAACAATTTGCAAACTCTAATCAAAAGGATACATGGTTATGAAAAATCGGGGCTAGCAACATGGTTTAGCCTAACACTCATGCTTCAAAAAAACCTGAAAATTCAACGTCTCAATACTCATCCGCTTTCATTCACGAAATCATTTCTCGTTTCGTTTATGGGGAGCTTCTGTCCCGATGGGGTGAGAACCACTAATTTTGTTTTTATTAGGTTAGTTCCCACAGGCGATAGAATCATTGTGTATGGTCCCTGCTATATGCTATAAGCGATATGTTCATTCCAGTTTATCACTTTTAACACTTAACCTTACTTATTTACAATTGTTGATGTTACATTGGTTCATTTTTTAAACTAACATAGGTATATGACACAAAGCTTCAGAAATTTATTCATAAATGTAAAACAATTTTCATCGTGTAGAAATTAATATTAAGATTAGGATATCAAGTATAACATACTGAATTGTTAAACCTGGATTAGACATTGAATAAATAATTCTTAAAAAAAAATGACTTTCATAAATTAAGAAATAACTTACCAATAACAAAGGGTTCAACTTTCTGTCCAACACTATTATACCAAGGTGGTCTACCAGCTGTATAAATTGTTCTGTGTTGAGTTCTGATAATTGAGTCTGTAACAGGTTTTGTCGTTTGTTGATTTAGAGATGTTGTCCTCTGTCGTCTAGATCTGGGAGATTTTTGAGATCCTTCAAATTATATTCAATAAATCTATTGAGAAATATTGCAAATAGAAAACGTTTAAATTTTTTTTAAAATGGAGCAATTAGAAAGTCCCTGTACAGAATGATTCACAAATTAAACTTCCCAAGATTAAACAAAATTATGTGTTACAGTTTAAGGATAGATAAATTAATATTAATATATCTATGGTTTTAAGTTGCCCCCCCCCCCCTAAAAAAATGGTGGAAATATATTATTATAAAAAATGGTGGAGGCGTGGTAATTTGCAAATTCACCATTTTTTATATTTTATTCATGATCCATGAGTCATTCTTTCAGAGGGTTTTCTCATAACAATAGGAAAATGCTGGGTTAGTACAATCCTCTCAGATATCTACCACCATTCCTTCAACCCCATCGCTTCAGACCTGATCCCTCCAGAGCGGCATAAGGGGGTATTCTGGTCTAGAAATTCGAAAAAAAAAAAAAAAAAACTTTATTTTTAAAGTCTTGACCTTTAAGAATATGAGCCTAATGGGATTTTTTGAAATTAGGATTATTTAATTATACAGCTGTTTTTGTGACGCGTTGACGAGACCGTTACCACTAACTGAGTTATGCTGCCCGAAACTTTAAACACAATTTTCTCGAAACTACTTTTTTTATAATTAAACGATTTACTAAAAATTTTAGTAAAATACTTTTTGTATATCCCTCTGTATCTGGGTCCTTGGATTTTGAAAAAAAAAACAATATACAGGGTACAGTTTTTGAAAGAAACTAAAGAATTACTATTTTGCAGTTCCCAACAGTTAAATATTACTTTAGTGCATATCAATATACAGGGAGGTTTTGCCAATAAATGCTTTGATCTAAATTTAATTTTACAGAAACAAAATGTATGTATTCTATGTGTTACTGAACATTGGCTTGATTCTAACAATTTACAAGCTACCTCAATTGACGATTTTAAGCTAGTATCATATTTTTCATGGATAAATAAAGAAAAAGGTGGTGCTAGTATATTTATGAAAACAAGTATTGCTGCAAATTTTGAATCAATTAATTTACATAGGTGGTGTATAGAAGGTGAATTTGAAGTATGTGGTGGAAAAATAAAGATCGATTCTAAACTTTTTTATTTATTATTACTGTGTATAAGCCATCTTGTACTAAGTTTAGCACTTTTATAAATCAGCTAGAGCTATTAATTCATAATATTTATCAAAACGACAATCACTATTTTATCTGTGGTGATATTTACGTAGATTTTTTGATTGAAGGTAATGAAAAAACTGTTTTAATTGACTTATTGAAGGAATTTAATATTAAACATCATATAAATGTTGCAACGAGAACAAGTACAACCTCAACTTGTTTAGATAATTTTTTTACCAATTTTGATGTAGATAAGGTGGGTGTATATGATACTTTTTGTCTGATCATAAATACTTATTATGTTCAATTAAACTACCTAATTTTGAAAATAACGAATTTAAATACAGATATAAACGAGATTTAAGTGATCCTAACGCATTAACTTTTATAAATATTTTATCAGTTGAAAATTGACGTGAAGTATACACATCTACTAATTTTAATATTCAAATAAATTGAGATTGATTGCGACCTCGATGTTGGATTAAAATTTATTTTTGGTGTAGCAGCCTTTTATGAATCATTCCTATACCACTACAATATTGTATTTACGAAAACAAAGAAAGCTATAAAACCACAAAAATTAAAAAATCAGTTTCCACCTCATATTAAAGAGTTACATAATATATTATGTGAAATGAACAGGTTAAAGAAAGAAATAAATTCTACATATTATACAGAACGTTACAATAATTAAAAAAAAGAGTATCAAAAAATAACAAAACAATATTTGAGAAGAAAAAATAATGATCGTATTTTAAAAAGTAATAACGTAATGAAAGAATCCTGGAATATAATAAACGAGAGTAGGGGAAAAAGAAAAAACAACTTATTGAATCCTATTAAACTTACAAATGATGACAAATTAACACCCTTAGAAAAAGTAAATTATATCAATAACTATTTTATTAATGTAAATAAAAATAATATTGTACCTATCAATAACTATTTTATTAATGTAAATAAAAATAATAGTGTACCTAACTATACTATGAGTATTGATAAACATCATAAAAGTTTTTTTCTTTTTCCAACAACTCCTAGTGAAATCATCACTATAATCAAAAAACTACTTCTAAACACACTGAAGATATTGATGAAATAAATGGTAAAATTCTGTTATCAGTTGCTCATTGTATTGCTGAACCCATATCACATTTGATTAATGAATCCTTTGTTTTGGGATTATTCCCAAATATGAAGGAATCTAAAGGAATTCCTGTTTATAAAAATAATGGATCTGCATCTAATATAGAAAATTATCGTTTAATCTGTATATCTAGTCAAATAACTAAAATATTTGAGTCAGTATACTTTATTAGACTTACTAATTACCTTGAAAGTTTTAATATGTTGCCAGATACTCAAAATGGATTTAGAAAAAATAAGTCAACATCTACTGCAATTGCAGCTTGCCTAAAGTTTATATATCAAGCACTCAATGATAAAAAAACATATTTTGGGACTCTTCTATGACCTTAGCCATGCATTTGATATGGTAGATCATAATCTTTTATTATTGAAGATGAATAGGTTAGGAATACAAGGGAAACCTTATGAATGGATACAGTCTTACTTAATAAATCGAACTCAAGTAATTGTAACAAATAGTCTAAAATCTTATCCTCTTCCATGTACAATAGGACTTCCCCAAGGTACAATTTTGGGCCCACTTCTTTTTATAGTTTTTATAAGTGATATAAGTAATTTTTGTTTAAGCTCTCAACAAATAGTTCAATATGCAGATGATACCAATATTGTAATGGCAGATGATCAAATTGAACAGGTCACTCAAAGTAGCAACGAGGCATCTCGTGAGTTTGACCAGTATTGTAAAGATAATAGTCTGGCATTAAATGTAACAAAAACAAACTTCATGCAATTTCTACCCAAAAACATATTACCAGATTACGAACCCTACTTGCACGTTGACGGAAAAACTATTCAAAGCGTTGATGACATAAAATTTTTAGGAATAATATTAGATCCCAAATTAAATTGGGAAGCTCATATAAAAATGGTAACTTCAAAATTAAGTACTTGTTGTTATATCATCAAAAATTTAAGGGAGACACTATCTTTTGATACTTTAAAACTATGCTATTTTGGTTTGGTTCATTCAACTCTACAATATGGGTTAATATTTTGGGGTTCTTCATCATTCTTTGAAAGAGCTTTTGTATCTCAAAAGAAGGTTCTGAGAGCCATGTATAAGGTGACACCAACAACATCATGTAAAGAACTTTTCAAGAAAACGCAAATTTTAACACTACCTTCCCTTTTTATTTTTCAACTAATTTTATACATAAAAGATAATGAGATTAATGGGATTAAGTGTTACAATAAGTTCAGTAACATATTAGAAGATACTACAGGTTATCATCAAATTAGTCGTAATGATTTAAGAAAACATCTTAATGATTTTCTTGTAAATAATGTATTTTATAGTAAGTATAGAAGATTTTTTGAACTTTTAAACTAATCTTAACATGAATTGTCAATTATATATATATTTTATTTTTTAATGTATTTTACTTAACACTTTTTTGACTAGTCTGATAGGATTTTACATTATGTACCTAGTGTCTTTGTATAGTGTATAATTCTCAAAGATGAATATGAATAAATTCTATTTCTATATAATAAAGCTACTTTTGTTGTATATCGCAAGAGAAAAACATTTAAAATTTCATGATAAGTTGATGTTATCTTATTCGAAAGTGTAAACAATAATTAGTAGGCCTGTGGAATTAGAAATTTAATTTTTTTTAACTTTGGAAAACCGGTGACTAAAAAATTTTTAGAAAATATTTACAAAAATGTGCCATCAGGACTTGTAACACCCTCTATCTCGAAAACGAAACGCTTTCGGACCTATGTTTATATGAACTTTTACTTCTATTTTAGGATGTAGATTATGTTGTTAAAATAGGACCAACTAATTTCGGGACACCCTGTATATTTTTACGCTTTTTTAAAAATTTGTGGTTGTAAAAAAAAAGCGAAAAAAAAATTTCAAATCGTCGCTATTTTGCGCAAAAATTTTAAAAATGTGTTCCAAGGTCCGAAGTTTACCAATCAAGATTTTTGTTTTTTTTTTTGTTCAGAAAACTACAAGGGTCGGAATCATGTCAACTATAACACACTTTTTTTTGCTTTAACTTCACAACCTCAACTTTGAATTCTTTTTTTTTTTCAAAATTATTTTGTATTCATAAAATTTTAGAAAAAATTATGTAAAAAAATGGATAGAAAAAATGTATTTCGTTTTTTTATACTATGCAGAAACACGACTGAAATTTAGGCTTCTCTCTAGGCTTCTAGACCAGAATACCCCCAACAGCAACCTGCTGTCAACAAAAATTCTATTCTGTTCTATTCAACTGGGAGAATGAAATATACATCCTTTTTACTTTTTCTAGAAATAATACTGATTAGGTAGAACTTCCAGTCAAATTTTGATAATTTAAATATCTATATATAGGTACTGCACTTGGATCACTAAATCTTTAGATAAAATATAATAAAAAAATATTTACTTAGTTATGTTATCTTCAATACAATTTATCGATTTTAAGAGATTTGAATATTTGACAAAAAATAATAATGTATGTGAAAAAATAACCATATTAGAAATATAAAAGAAATTTTGCTGACTTTTGATTATATTGATTAAAATAAAATTAGGATTCCATGATTATTAATGAATTTTTACATGTTTTTTCATAAACTGTAGTGGACAAGTAAGGAAGAGTATTGTTACAAGGATTGATTATGCTTATTAATTCAGTATTGACTAAACATAAGGGCTCTAAAATGCACAAATGGTTTTCAAAAATTACAGTAGGAAAGTATATTAGCGTTCTTAATGCCAGTTACCAGTTTAATGAAATTTTTCTCATTGCAACCTTTATAGTTGCATAGTAGCAAGCATAGTAGATGTAGGTAAGTACTGATTCAACCATAAAACATATGCTCACTCCTAGGATAAATATACTAGCATAAAATATCCCCACTCAAATTAGCAGCTGTCTCCTTCTTTCTAATGTGGCTGCTGATACAACAGCTTTGTCTGCGTAATAATAAACACAATCTGAGTTATCGCAATAAAAAAGGGCTTAATTATGAATTAATGGATTAGTCTACTAGTCTTTCGTCATTGGCAGAATATGATTTTTTTAACATATTAAAATTCTATTTTTCAAGTTTTGCTGGTATTTTTTGTTTAACTTTATTAATAATACCTTTTACTTAATATATAAAAACCCTCAGAAAACCTATAAGACATTAAAAAATCTAAAAACCTACTCAAAGCCATAGGCTAAATCTCGCCACCCTATTGTGCACTATATTTTTGTAATTTATATTTAGTACAAATAATGATGTTTATTATTAATATATTTTTTAATTCTTGGGTATTTTCCAACCCTGATCACACATATAAAATATGTAAAAATAGAATTAGCCAAACTATTGTAATGTTCTGCACACATATTTAATATTGCCTTTATAAACTGAGAAATGAAAACCCAATAAACATATTTCAAAAATAATTATTACAAATTTTCTGATATTTTGCAAATACAATAATGAAAATAGGAGTAGAAAAAAAAATCCCTACCTGTTGAAGGGGGTCTTGGACAATAAGGAACTGTTATAGGAGAAGCTGGAGTGTGATAAAAATCCCCGCTTTTCTCTTCTTCAGCTTCTATGTCAGGAAACACTTCCGAAAAATCTGCATTTGTTTCGCCGATGTCGCTATAAATAGAACACTCGGTAACTCAATTAATCGAACAAAGAAACTCAAATTGATTTTAAACTGAACATTTTTAAACACAACTACTTTCGAAAAACTTTAAATACTCTCAACAATAAACGACGAATTGCAACAATGATATACTTAAAAAAAACACATGTTTACCTATCTGAACTTGCCGATGACGGAGGGTCAATTATGTTGATTTTAGCAGCCATTTTAATTAATGCCTTTAAACGATGAAGTAAAATTATTTATAAGTAATGTGTTATGTTTAGTTTATCGTTAAAATGTTTATAAAATGACACCTAATAAAAACTTAACTTTCTTTTTAGGTTAAAAAATCTGTCATCGAGTGTCATCATCAAGACTGTCATATATCAAAAAGTCTTCTTTTCTCAATTAATTGAAAGGGGTCTATATTCATTAGTCAAACAGATAATGAATTTGTTTTCACCAATAAATGCCTAGAAAAAACTATTCGATTTTGACTTTGACAAATAAAAGATTTAACCTAAAATATTGAACTGTCAGAAAATTCATGCATAAACAATAATAAACAAAATAAAAACCAAAAATGATATATACAGAAATAGTTGAAAATTTACGTTTAGTATTAAATGATAAACTAATTCGAAATATCACCATTTTTATTACTCTAGCTGTTTTATTATTTTCCATATTTTTTCGGTAAATGAATTATTGTTACCTAGTGAAAGGTCTTATTGGATTTTATTTTTAGCCCTCTAGGTGGATTAGTGCTGTATCTTTCATATATATTTGGATTCACAGTAGCATGGAGTCTAGTTAAATATCAGCATAAAACTACAATTTATCTACAACGAATAACTAATTTCTACAAAGGTAGAATTTTCATTAAAAAAATATTAAAACAATCTTGCAGTATTTGCGATGACTTGTCTTGTAGAAGACACCAACAAGCTAGGAGTATTACACCTTGGAAGCATATTTATATTTCTAATGATTTGAATAATACTATAAAACATGTAAGTATACCTACATGATTATTACAATGCAGTATATTGTGGGAATCTCAATACATTTTTACTAAGAGTTTAAAATATGTTCTAAATATTACTTAGGACTTTATAAACAACATAAGCAGTAATGAGACTAACAAAATATTTTGTTTAATCCTCAAATGAAATAACATGAGTAATTTAGTATTAAAATTATATTTATTGGCACATTCATAGCATTTAATTAAAATGTAAAGAAAATTAAGAGTGTGTTCATATCCAATGAATCTAAATATGAATGTGACAATTTTGTAGAATTTAAAAACAAGTTATATTCTTTATTTTTAAAAAAATTAATAACTGGAAATAAGGATCAAAAATTAGTTATAATAAAAAATCTTTTAAATCAATTTAGTTTCTGCAATTAATTGAGACTCATAACTACTTAATAAAAAATAAAAAAGAGACCATTGTTTTAAATTGTTCTTGTGCAGTTTACTAACACTGAATACAGAAGGAAAAATTATAAGCTTCACTGATGACGCCGCCATTGGAATGCTGTTAAACATGAAGCCGAAAATGACTTAAAAAATTATAACATGGTTTAATTATAACAAATTAGAGAAAACTAAATATATTCCATTTGCATCATACCTCGCTTCATACTCTCCTGGACTTCCCAATTTTGGCCCTCAACTCATAGACAATAATTTAAAAATTCCAGAAACAAAAAAAATTAAATGTCTAGGACTAATTGTTGACCGTCATTTAAAATGGGACCTGCAAACTAAATATGTTACCCAGAAGTTAAGGGGATTTCTATCAAAATTTAAATACTTAAGAGAATTTCTAGATTTAAATCATTTGAAAATATTATATTATTCATTAATACAATCACATCTTAATTATGGAACTATTGGGTGGGAGGAGTCAATGACTGTCACTTAAAAAATTTAAATATAATTCAAAAATGGATTATTAAAATAATTTATAAAAAATATATATTGTTTTCCAGTAATGAGCTTTATAACATTAGTGTTTTCATGGATGTAAAACAAATTTATTATCTAAAAATATTTTTATATTATCAAAAAAATAAAAACAAGTTACAACGTCTAGCACATATCCATGACACAAGATCCAAAGAAAAAACATATAACTTACCTAAGCGAGAACTATAGGTCAGCACTGTTTTGACTTCTTGGGCCCAAAACTCTTTAATCAGATCCCAGTTGATCTACAAAATATATCCAAATTAGGCTATTTTAAAGCAAAAATAAAAATATGGATAAAATCAAAAAATAGAAACTTTTTCCACATCATTGTAAATCATGTTTAAAACAAGGTGTATATTTAAAACAATCAAAAACTTTTTCTTATTATTATTATTATTATTATTATTATGTTTCGGTTTCACTATCAAAAAGATAGGTGCTTAATGCAAGAAGCGGCCAGGGCAAGATGCTTGCATATGGTTTATGTAGTTAAATTTAAAAATGAGCGTACTCTTGAGGTCGTGGACAGTATCACTGCTTTCTGGATAGCTGCCATTTTGTCGGCAATTCCCAACATGCTTAGATTTTTAGTAAGCGACTTTGGTATTACGCTGGTTGACGAAAGTATTAATGGGACTAGAAAGACACTTTCTTGTCACCACATCTGTTGGATTTTCTGTCTTAGTCTCTGGTATTTTGATTCCTTTTCAGCATAGTAGCTAGCGTATTATTATTATTATTGTTGTTATTAATATTATTATAAAATAATTTTTAAATCTATAGAAACGAAATCCCTATTGTGACATTATTTGATCATAAAAAGTAACTTACCTGTTATCATATATCACGTACAAGGTGTAAGTCAGCGCACTTACAGCTTCTGTGATTGTAAATTGTTTGTTCACATTTTTTTTTATTATTATATTTTTATTGTATTTCTTTTATGAATAAACATTATTATTATTATTACCTATATTACTTTGTAGTTCTATGAGAGGATAATTAACAACTTTATTTCTTCTTGGTATGAGCAATTCACAGATGATCAAGATTTTTTAAATGAACTAAGATACTGTCTCAGATTTTCAACTGCTACTATAATAAATAGATTATTGGAGTTGGATGTGGGTGATATAGTAGCTAATAAATTGATCCCGTGTGCTGTGAGACATGTTGATGATTATTTATACATACAACAAGTTGCTAAATTGAAGAATGTCAGATTCAATGAAGTTGTAATTGAATATTTAGGAAAGAAATTGCATGCAGCAGCTACAAATAGAAAGAATGAGTTAGATTATTTACGGCACCTAGTTTCATCACTTCTGTCTCATATTTTACCGGGAAATTATTTAAAATGCAGGTGAGTATAAAATTTTAAATGTATAAAAAGAAGCTAAAACATTATTTCAATATTATTACTTTATCATGTAATTGAGTATATTGCAGAAACTTTTCTATTATGATGAGAGAAATCCTATGTGGTTGGGTATTTCTGCCTATGATGGATGTTATTGCAGATCCAAATATTTTAAATCAACTAGTAATACTGGCACTAACATATAAGTCCAAAAAAACAATAAAAAGTAATAAAGTTGTTGAAGAAGTAGAATTTTTATACAATTATGTATCGCCTGAGAAGAAGATCTCATCTTTTTCTACAAGTTTAACTAAAATTAAAAAAGATACAGAATTACTTTATGCATTTATGCAATTTTTGAAAAATCAAGATCATGTAAATCTTTTACAATTCTGCCTAGATGTTGGTAAGTGTTGCATTATATTTTGATATTTTTAACATTTAAAAAAAATAAAATGTTCAAAGAAAAGATAGAAAAACTTGAAGTTAAATAATATTTAATTATTGGGAATTTTATCTTAGAGTGATACAAATTTGAAAAACTATTTACCCTTCTACACATAAAATATTTTTAGATGAATTTAACATAAAACTGTTGATGCCTGAATTGTCTAAAAAACAAGTAGAAGAATTACATTCAGATGCTTTAAAACTTTACAAGGAGTATTTGGATAAGAATAGTTTTAGTTTTATTAGTTGTCCATCAGAGATTTCAGAAGATTTCAAATTTTTATTACAGGATGTGTATGACATTGAAAAGTTATCAAAACTGAGTAAATTGTTGTATGCTGCCTATGATTATGTTTTTAATATTTTGGAAAATATTTGGTTGCCTCAATTTTTTCATAGCAGTGAAGTAAGTAGGCAGTATTTAAAAATGTTTAAATTCACATTAAGAAAAAAAAACTAATTTTAAGTCTAGCTACCTAATTTTTGGTATTGTTTAACTGAAAATTACATAATTGTAAATCACTTTTCATCTTCAGTTTTATGGATATATATGTGGCTCAAAGCAGACAACTGGTCACACCAAGCAAGGGCAAAATAAGTAAGTTAATATTAATAATAATTATAGTACCCACAAAGCATTAGCTATAGGTATTTTTCTAATTTTGACATATAAAGTGACATTTTTTGTAATCGCAGCAAGTGTCAAAATGATCTGCTTTACGCAACTAGTTGCATAATGTTGAACATTATGAAACTGATTTCGAAGAATTCATTATGCCACTAGTTGCAAAAAGAAAACAAAAATAAACCATTTTTTGCTTTTAAAATCAATAATATACATTATTATTTAAAGTTTCTTTCAGAGAAGGGCAGATTGACTTATAACAATTAAATTTGATTAAACTTACATCCTAGTAATAATGTTGTGTTGGTCCTTATTTTCCATTCTAAATCAGCACAAAATAATTAAAATACAATACGCGACAAAATTACCCAGTTTCTTGAAACCTAAATAACTTTAACAAGCAATATAAACATACTACAATAAGTCCTTGAGAATAATAAATATTTTCTATTTGTCAATAAAATAATGAACTTAATCATACACAACTAACAATACAAGAAAGAAGTAATATTGGTTGCCTAGATGCAGAGCTATTTCAAATCATTTTAAAAACGATTTAAATCAAAGATCATAAATCGTTTGCTTTTGAACAAATGATTTAAATCAAAGATCGATTTTTTAAAAAGAAAGATTTAAATCATAAATCTTTTTTACAATTTAAATTATTTTAGGAAAGATTTAAATCTTTTCGAAAGATATAAATCTTTTTATAGATTTGGGTAGGCCTACGAGCCACAAACCCAAAGATAATGAATACTTAAGTAATGTGATTTTCTCATAAATAAAACGCAAACTCTATTAACTTATCTCGTATTTATTTTTTATCGTTATTAGCTCAATGCAATTCTTACGGAAATATTAATTTTAAATAATAAATATCCGATCGAGATAAATTTTTTAAGGATTTATGCAGCATTGATATGTATAGTTATGAAAATTGTTATTTAAAAATATCATGTCGATTGGTAAATAGGAATTTTTCAACCCTTTAAAAGATACTTTTGTTATGCCTATAATGCCACAAAACAATGGAGACCTAGTTTTTAAGAAAAGTGATTTTTTTTCTGAAAAATCACTTAAATCCGTCAACTCTTCCTTGAATTAACGTGCCTAATGTCATACATACATAAACACCCACATAGATGCACATACATCAGACCCTTTAAAAATATGTTTTTTTTTGTACTTAGGAGACTCTCCCGGAATTCTGGAATTCTGCCGGAAAAATGCATTTCATTTTCAAAATCTCCCGGCTTCAGGAATGTACCTAAAATCTTCCGGATCTTTAAATAATGAATAATGAAATTGAGTGAGAGTGGGTTGAATTAAAAGAGTTCTCTCAACATGTAGACTAGATGCATGAGGATAAACAGTATGATAATAATTAAAGTAGAAGTACGTGAAGTTATTGCCAGCAAATAAATAACCAAAGTAGGCGCGTTTGAGTTAATTTTTTTGAAAAATGTGTAGATGAATTAGGCAAAGAAATAAAAAAATTAATTAATTCGCTCTACCTAAGCCGAACGTGTTTATTGAACTGGTCAAAAAGTCATAATCGTCTTAATGCAACTCGTCAAATTTGAAATTAAAGTGTGCATAAATTTAAAATACCTATGTAGAGTTTTATGATTACATCGATAATGAAAAAGTATTTTCAGCTGCTTACGATGTAAAAATTTAAATACAACTTTACAAAAAAATATCGTGTAAAAAATACACTTCACTAATTTTTGTTTTTATTTTGTCACGGATTTCTGATTCACAGAGTTGGCAACCCTACTGACATGCTGGCTAGATTATTATTCAGGAATGGAGAGGTTGATAACGATTTTGACGAATCAGGTGATTTCAGCCCCCTTCTCGTCTCGTGAGTGTTTTTATAGATATAAATATTTTTACGGATTTAAATAATTTTAAAAAGATGTAAATCGTTTTAAAAAGATTTAAATCTTTAAGAAAATTTAAATTATTTTAAAAAGATCACATCATTTTATAGATTTAAATTATTTCAGAAAGATTTAAATCATTAAAAAGATTTAAATCGTTTTAAAAAGATTTAAATCTAATTTTTAAATAAAAAATCAAAGATACTTTTCAGAAAGATTTAAAACAAAAATCATTTTTTTAAAAAAGATTTAAAATTAAAGTATTTAAATCAAAAAATGATTTAAATCTCACTCATAGGTGACAGCTCTGCCTAGATGTCAGTAACGTTTTACCAAAACACAATTTTATAAATAATCTAGTCAAAATTAGAAAAATATTACACATTACTCGTTCATGTTGTAGGACCTCGCGCTACTCGTCCTGCAAATATTCACTCCTTACAAAAAATAAGGCATTTCGTAACTGGTTTTATAAATAGCCATTTTATTTATCTTAATAAAAAATATAATATTTTTCCTTCAATATATTTGTGTATGTATTTGTAATATGATTCATTAGTTTTCAAAGGATTTTTAAGATAATATAATATTTTGTGATTTATATATGACTGTTACAAATGCTCAAAAAAAACGTTTTTTTCAGAAAGCATTTTTAAGTAGTTAGCTTCCTGTAAATTGTTAAAGATAGAAACGTCAAATCAATAAGTAAAAAAAAGTATAATTGTACAATAATGGCGTGATTTATCAACCCTACTATCAATCATTAAAGTTCTTGAAATATCGCCATACCTTATTGGGCATTCATGACGTTTCTAGCTTTACAGTTTTACATGTGGGTAAATTTAATGATGCATTGTCAATTGGGCTCTAAGAGTTCAATATACGTTGTATTTTTTAGTCCTCTATCATGACAAAAATCGAGTTAAGATTCCACTATTAGATATATATGTTACGGGTAAAGTTAGATTAACTGTTAAAATTAGGTTTACCCGGGTAAACTGCGAAATACCAAGAAAACGTGGGTGAAGTACGAAATATAACTTACATTATACATATTTCGGGCTTTACCCGTGTAAACCGCGTTCTATCCAGTTTCGTTTGGTTAAAGTTGAGTGTAACAAAAACAATAAGGTCATAAATGTTTAAAAAACATATTTGAAAAAAACACATTTCATAAATAAAATTAAAAACTCATAAGACTCTGTCCTGTCAAAGTAAAGAATACTATAATCTATTTATTTAAGCAAGACAAGCTGCCGTGACATTTCGAGTTACAAAGATTTCCTATTGCTTTAAATTTACATTTGTTGGTCACGCATTTAGCTTTACAGTTACGACGTTTATAACCTTGACCTCCTAAAAAAAGTGACTGTTCATTTGCAATTTGTCGCAAACTTTTCTTTTCCGGTGATACATTTTCCAGATCTACAAGTTTCTCACTACATACACAAAAATGGTTCCTGGAAAACATTTCCTCGATAGTTCCTGTCTTGTTAGCTAGTTTATAAAAATTATCGTCGGTTTTTTCGATAACTGTCATGAGAATGTTTCTAAAATCGCCCCTCCCTCGATCAACGTCTGGAACTTTCACTCTGACTGAATCTCTAACGGAACATAGAGGGAATTTTAAATTAGATAAGGCTTTCATCTTCTTTGCTTGATTTTCTAAATTTCTTTTTGTGTCCTGTCTATTTGACAGTATGTTTCTTTGGTACAAGAAAAATTCACACATACTGGCCGATGTACATAGCTCATCACATTCTGCACATTTGGTCTGATTTTCTAAAGTTTCTATATTACTGGCGTTTCCTATATAATTATTATCCACATTTTCTTCTATATTTTCACCTTCAATATCTTTGTGCAGGTTGTCACTTTCAGTAATATCTTCTTCTTGCGGGATATCTATTTCTGGGTCATTATCCATAGGCTGGTCTTAATTTTGTTCATGTTGTTGAGGCTGTTCACCCACACCAAACTCCCTGACAACCCTCTCAAGCTCTTCTTCGGAGCGTAAATAGTTTCTTTTGGAAAAGCTGAGGTTGATAGGCCGACTTTAATATCATGCCCAAACATGGCGACATAAGGAGCTCGCTTAATTCCATCATGGTATGCCCTGTTTTTGATTAACTGGAAAAATCTCAGACCTTCTGACCATTGTCTGCAGTTTTCATCGTCCATCCACGTCATGAGCACATTTTGTATATCTTGATTTGCTCTTTCCACGCTGCCTTGTGACTGACTGTTGGGCGGTGTGCCATGTACTATTTTAAGGCCACTCCACATAGAATATAACTCTTCAATGACACGGTTTGCAAATTCCCGCCCGTTGTCCGATTGTAGTATAGATAGGTCGCCAAAAATGCAAAATATGTCTATCAGGTTCTTAGCAACTTCCTCTGCCCTTTTCGATTTTAATGCACGTATTTGAACAAATTTTGTTAAGTGGTCTTGATAGACCGTGATACATTTGTATTCTCCATCTGCATGGGATTGCATATCAATCAGCTCAACTTGACAACGGCTGTTCATCTCCGAAAACACCATTGGTTTAACCACAAGTCCTTTCTTGGCAGATTTTAGTTTCTTTTGGCAACCTTCACACAAGCGGAGATATAATTTAATAACATCTTGAGTTATATTCTTGTACTTTTTTTTACATTCACTTTCCATGCGATGTTTACCACCATGGCCAATGGCCAAATGTGCATCATGTAAAATATCAAACATTTCGTCGTTTGTAACGTAATACCTTATGCTAGATTCACCTGATGATACACGAGCGATGAGCTTTTCAACACCTCTAACAACATATGTCAAATCGCTTCAAACGTCGATATTGTAAAGTAGTCTTGGTTTTAGCATTTTTTGCCAACTTGACTGATTCTAACATTTCTTGGTATTGGTCCTTACTAAAATAAAAACTGTTTACATTTTTGGAAGACACCAACTCATTGAAAACTTCATTAAAACGCTGTCTTAAACGCGCGCGACCGCTTTCTTCGGTTGCCATTTTCGAACTGACTGCACCTACACCCAACTTTAACGAAACGAAATCGGATAGAACGCGGTTTACCCGGGTAAAGCCCGAAATATGTATAATGTTAGTTGAATTTCGTACTTTACCCATGTTTCCTGGGTATTTCGAAGTTTACCCGGGTAAACCTAGGTTTACTCGTCAATCTAACTTTACCCTTAACATATATACAGGGTGAAAATGTGAGAGGTCTCTCGGATTCAGATAGAACATTAAAAAATAAGATGACAAGTTCCCATAAATTTTTTTCCTAGCGGAGATACGGCCACCAAAAGGACGCCACTGCAAATCAATTATTGTTGAATAACTTTCAAACTACGTAATATAATTTAATGAAAATTTAATATTATATGAAAAATAAATTTCGATGCCTTGAACATTAAGCTAAAGAAAAGATACTCTTCTTCATTGTCGATAAAATGAACCTTTTTCGAGAAAAATAAAATAAAATAATATTTGTTTTATTTTTATAAAAAAATTAAACTCCTAGAATTTGCTAATTTCAAATTTGTAAATTCTAAAATACACCTTGGAGTATTATGTTTTCATCCTGAACTCACTAAAGCTTGTAACGATTGAACCTAAATACGCTAATTGGAAATATAAAAAACTTTATAAGTGGGTTCAACATGTGCTCCGTGAACTCTGATACACTCGCTATAAAAAAATGAATTTAGACATGTTTCCCCCAAAAAACTAGACATGTTTCCCCCAAAAAACTATAAAACTTTTTTTTATAAAATGCATATTTTCGGCGGTATTTAACTGTAACACTTTAATTTGCCGGGTATATATATATATATATATATATATATATATATATATATTTATTTTTTTTTTTTTTTTTGTTAAATATATGTTCTACGAATGGTTTTGCAAGTTTGGCCATGCATTAGGAACCACTGATAAAAATTATATCTCATCAGAGGTTTTTAAGAACAAGATACTTTTGAGTCCAATTTCTAATAGAAAATTGTTACTAAGTTATTAACTTTAAATTATATTTGTACAAAAATTACTAATATATATTTTTACTAATCTTAGATCGCCATTTTTATCATTTGGTTCTCCAAGTAAAGACAGGTAAGCTGACTTTTCAAACAAATTTCATTGTATATCTACTATTTGTCAGCTTTTGTTGCTTTTGTTTATTAGTCCTTAATCTCTCAAATTAGGGACAGCCGGTTTTTGGGTATGTGAAAAGCATTCAGGTTTTTATTCAGCGAGACTGGTTGATAATTGTTAATGTGGCAGTTCACTGAATGTGTATTAGCTTCTCAAGAAACCACATCAAATTGGAAAATATTCTAGACCCTTGATATTGATACAGTACTTACTATCAGTGGCGGCTACTGCCTTATGTACCTGGGAGGGGGCAGTGGTGGCTCACAGTTATTTAAGTAGCTGTGGCCAATAAACCAGTCTCTCTGGATAACTGCCCAGAATTTGTCAAAAACATTGTAAAACCCATTGTAGTCGAACACTAATTCAAAATGTTCTTCAGTCATGCATTCTGGAATTGAATACTGTCACTCGCCATTTACTTTCACAACTGTACAGAAATAACATTCGATAATTATTTTTTTCTGTGTTGAATACAATTTTTTAATTTGATTTTCTTAATAAACGTTTTGAGAAATTTGACACAAACTTTCAGTTTAAATTTCACAGATAACTCCAATTATGATTTTTCTTGATGACTCGTTAGTGTAGGATATATATTTTTTAAAACCATTCTTACCATAAGAAAATGGTTACATTTTTCGAGCACACTTTTGCTTTTAAAACATCAGAGAATCAATCAAATTTCTAATCGGTATTAGATAAGAAACAACAAACAATTCTTGCGAAAAAATAATTACATTTGCATAATTTCAAATGTTCCCCTGATCTTTGACTAATTTAATTAAAATTTCCTTACTTATCTGACTTTTGATGACCAATCTAAGTTTCTTGACATTCCATGTTTTTCCAGAATGTGATCGACCTGATATATTCCAATAGGCTATAGGTAGGCGTTTGCACCCATTTCTGCTTGTATTCAAGGAAACTGCACCCTATTGGCTTATTGTGTTTAAAATCATTAATACTGAATACAAATTATTTATTTGGCAGATCAAAAAAATACGAATCGGCTAATCCAGGAGCAGTATCAAAATTTAGTACTGGTTTGGGTAAAATTAAGGGTGTTCTCAAAACGAATCAGCCTATTGAAGGTGCTTTTTTTCATCCAGAAATTCAAACGATTGAAAATGGAGCAGCAGATGATATGTTTTTAGAAGACTGTAAAAGTTTATTTCGGGATATGAGCACATGGAAGGTGTCTATTCCTACTTATCAGGTAAAATATAGATAACTTAAATGTAAAAAAAATTCATTCTATTTTGTTAGTTATCTTTAACAATTAATATTGTACTAGTTGTGAAGTTGAGAATGAATTATATTGTAGGCCAGTCAATCTAACAAAGTTATATACTTCTACATTAGTGTTGAAAGAACAGATGCTCTATCTGTGGACAGTAAAAAGAATTGGGTGGTGTTAAGAAAAGATCAAGACTTTTTTACTTTGAAAGCTAAACTAATAGAATTCCATGGGGAGAGTGAAATTTGCGATTCTCCTCTTCCATCTAGAAAGTAAGTACTAACAATTTAAATATGATTATCAATAAATATATACAGGGTGTCCCTGAAAGGCTTGTATAGAACGTTAGCATAAATTCATTAGGCTAAAATATAAATAACATACTAATATAATAAATAAATAATAAATACAATACGAAATACAAATAATAATCCCAGTAAACAAACAACCTTTGGAAATAAGTCTGAGACTTGAATGTAGGTTTGAAGTCATTTTGTGTTTGACGGGCTATAGTACAGTAGTATAGTAAAGACATGGCAGAATTATAAAAGATACTTCGCGTGCATATTAGAACCACCTTTAAATGCACAGATTTATAGTTAATGAAAAATAATTATGCGTTGTTTTAACAATAAATAATAGGATTTTATTTTTTAAATTATTTTTGTTTTTTTTTGTTTTAAATCATTAGTAAAGGAACCTAATTCAGAAAATTGGTAAGTATATAATTAGAATTAGTTACAGCCATTGTTTAATTCTACTTTTAAACATTTAATGTTAGTTTATTTGTTAAATATAAAAAAATTAAATCTATTTCAGTTTCAAATTTTGTTTGCTTGAGATAAAATCCAAAGTATTCAAATATATTGTGTAGATTTTTAAATTACGATCTGAATTACTAGTTTTACTTCTCAAAACTATTAACCTTGGGAATATGGAATGCTTAATTAAAATAAAAGTATAATAGTGAATGGTAATATAAAATACAGTGGCCAAAAAAACAAAATTAAATATTACAAGCAACAAGATAAACAACTATAAGCAAGAACTTTTTTATTACTATTAAAGATGATGCTTACTTATTTACTTGCAATTTTTTTCTGAAGTTATCAAAATATCTTATCCTCAGTCAACATTTCAAACTTGGACTGGTGCAATAAAATATGTACTTATTTAACTCGTTCTTTAATATAAATTCTTTTGGCTCCTTTGTTTTTCAGGGCTGGTTCTTCAGTTGATACGAGAATAACACGATATGAAGAATTTTTGAGAAAATTATTACAAAAATCTACATTAAAAGGCAGCGACTTACTGTATTATTTTTTGACAACCGAAGAAGATTTTCAAATATATCTTGCTACCAATGCAACAAACATACAAGATATAGGCAATATTTATCAGTCTGTCGCCTATAAATTAAGAAAAGAAAAAGGTCAACATTTGGATCCGTTTATGACGTCGTTTTTGTTATCTACAGGGCGAACAAAAAACGAGTAAGAAAAAGATATTAATTAAAGTACTAAAATAATTTATTTTGGGTTTTTTTTGTAATTAAAATGAACATAATTTTCATCAAAACACAAACTGATATTTTAGAAAATTGGAATGGGCAGAAGTAGGAGAGGAGACTGATAAAACATTTACATTTTCTGAAAATATTTCATTCCCTAAAACATACAGAAACCAAGTGTTTAATGATAATTTTGGAATCCATTATAAAGTTTTAAAAGATACAATGAGCAGCTCTTTGAGCCTTGAAGGACTTACAGAAAGCGTATTTTATCTTCGTAAGTATTTCCATAATTAAATTTTTCAAGGATTGTCAAAAATCAAAAATTACCGGACATTTGAGATTTTCGTCCTCGTTTTTTAACTTTTCAAACAAACATAATTTTTGATAATATGAAATCAAATTTTAGTTTATTTTGTAAAATAAAATTGAAATTTTTTTTTGATTGAAATTTTTGTTATGGAAATTTTTCTGAAAAACCTCGTGTCTGGTTAATTTTGCGGTAGAGTATATTAATTTCATTTTCAGTTAAGAACATTCTAAAAATTCCATACGGATTTTTAAAGTTATATGCATCTATATGCAGTATAGCCCAACACTTTGTGGATTTGTCCGCTAGGATGATAATAGAAAGAAAGATCAGATCTGGCCTGTGTCAATCGAATATAGCATATCTTATTGGACAGTTGGAAGGTATGTATTATTCTTTAATTAGCATTAAAAGTTATTTATTTTAATAAAAAAAGTTCTTTAGTAATATAGATCACTATAAGTTTTTATTTAGGAGCACAACATATGTTTCGGAAAATGAATATTTTCATCTTCTGGTGTATTCATTTAAAGTTATTTAAAAAACAGAGAGAAATGGTTTACTTCATCCTTTGTTTCACATCGTGTAGGTCTATTTTAAATATTAATATTTGGTTTAACAAAATTAGTAGGGAAACACAAAGAAGAGTTTTTTTAGTGTAACACCACTATGGTAATATTTATTCTGTAAAAATGCTACACGACAAACCGTGGTTCACGCCATGTTCTCCAACCGAGTCGGTTCTTAATTGACGGCTTTAATAGTAGATCTACTGCTTTTTTGTCACTTTTCTCCGGTTTTACTGTTTTGAGTTAAAAATCTACTTAATTCACTTATAAGGGGGTGAATTATACGGAGAGTATTATTATTTTTATTTGTTTTTTCAAGAATATATTTATGTTTATTTTTATTAGTTAGTTGTCTTTTTTTAAGAATATTATTTATTATTCCACTGTTTTTGTTTTTCTTCCACTAAACCTACGGTTGCCGGGAGCAGGCGTTAACAATGGCGCCCAATGATTTTGATATCCGTTTAACTTTATACGGTGGAAAAACTTTGATTTGAAACATGCAAAATTGAACTCAAAAAAATTGGGTTCGAACTTACCCATTTTTGACAAAAATAGAACAGGATCTATGTCTTCATTTTATCCTGAATTGTTTAACTGTTGAATAGCAGGTTATTTGATATATCTATATAGAGTTTTGAACTATAATGAATAATGACATTTATTCTCAAATACAGCAAGATTACAAAGTGTCCATGTAAAATGTGTTACTGATGACAACACAATTTATTAACAAATTCTATTTTGAAATTAACAAACCTATGAAGGCTTTTACAGATATAGCAATTTTAGTTAACTTAAAGAGTAACTAAGTTAAATTAATAATACTATGAAATGTATTGTGATTTTCCTTTTTCAGAAGTAGTTTTTAACGAACATGTACCTACAAGCCGAGAAGTGTTTGAAAAAAGAAAAACTAGGGCTTTTGAAGAATTAACAAATTCAGTATCGAATATAGTAACTAAGATGTTTGGACCAGGAATCAAAGACGGACTACAACTTTTATTAGAAATTTTACAAAACCCACATTTTAATAAACAGGTGAGTTGAAATCTGCTCTCTAATCCAGACGGGGGACATATTTTTTTCATAAAAACATGCCGTTAGTGATTGTTATAACAATTTCGTTTCCAGGTCACAAATAATGTATTCAGTTCAGAACTGAGCTATTTTTAAAAATATCGTAACTGTGATTTATTAAATTGAAATAAATGAGGTCATATTTTAAAAAATGTTGTTAACCCCCGCCACAACCCCCCACAAATAAAAAATATTCCAGGCATCTTCGGCATGTACACACCCTAAGAAATTAAAACGCGGACAAATGCTCCATGCGAGTGCAAAAATTGTGATTTTAAATATGATTTGTTATTTGAATATGTGAAGCGTGGTCGTAAAAGTATGTTAGAACGGAACGATATCATTCCTTGGCGACAAAGGTATTTAATAGCCATCAAACAATATCGCCAACAAAATTGTAACGTTATCTATATAGATAAGACTTGGGTCAACGTGGATTAAACGGTTAACCATGTATGGTGTTATAACACCATACAAAATCGTAGAGATGCTTTTATAAAGAGCCTCGAAGCACCTATCTCTTTGTGTAGGTTAAAGATGTCTACGATTCGTTATTGTTCATGCAGGATATGAAGATGGGAGTCTTACCAGGCGCCGCGCATTTTCTTGTCAAAGAAAAACTATGGCGATTATTTTGACGAAATGAGCGCCGTCTATTTTGAGCAATGGTTTGAGTAGTTACTGATTCCTAACTTACCCAAAAATGGACGAAAGAAAGTTGTTATGGATAACGCTTCATATAATTCCCGTAAATTTAGTTTTCCAGCTATCTCATGTAACAAACCCGAAATAAAAAAATTGGGTGGTTGAAAACATTTTCTTTGACGACTTATTTAAAATTTGAACTGCTTGAAGTTGCCTACGCATACAGAGACTAATACGACAAATGAGGAAATAGTTGCAAAATACGGGGTAACTGTTTTACGCTTACCACCATGTGATTACGGGCTTAATCCGATCGAGATGGTATGGAATCAGATAAAGCGCTATATTCCTATGAACAACTTCGAATTCAAGATACCGAATGTTCGTTCATTGATACATGAAGCATTGGAAAATGTCACTGAACAAAATTGGAGTTATTGCGTTGCACATGTCAAAGAAAAAAAAACGGAAAAAGAAATAATCTCAAAGACAACGTTGATGAACTCATTATAAGAGTAAATTTTGGCGAAAGATCCGAGTGTGAAATTTCAGACCTTGATGATGACTTGCAATGACTTATCTAGAGTCAGAGTATGGTAAGTCCAAAAACTTAGTTTTTCAGGAGAGCATTTTTAATATATTCATTTTAGAGTGTGGACTGTGGGCTTAGCGTAGTTAAAAATTAGCTATTTTTGTTATTTTAAAAGATACGTCAAAATGGAAAATGCCAAACGATGCGCCGCAAAATTTTAAGTCACTTAACATATTTATCTAAAATTTGGCCAATTTGGACTTAACATAGTCTGGCTCCGAGGTACAGATATACAAATTTTGAGCTATAATTTAAACCAGTGTCGAAAGTTGCCTGATACTGGCCTGTTTTTTGCCGATCCCAGATTAGCGACGGCTGGCAACGGCGTGCTTCATAAGACTTCAATTCTCAGTTTGTATCTCACATGATTTTATTCAAATAATTAGGGAATTGCTACTTCATGTTGTCAAATAAGAATCTAAATGTGCGTTATTCGAATTGTCAAAAATGGAAATGTTACCTTATTTCTTGATCAACAATAGCCAGGAAGTATAATTTTGTAACAAAGTTATTTATGACCTCGATACAAAATTATAGAAAACTGATAATGGCCTTAACACAATTACACAGTCCGTGGTAAATTACTTCGTTTTCTTTCATTATTGGAAATATCATGTTTAAGAAAAATGGGTGATTAACTCCATTTTATTGAAAACAGTTTATTTTATGGTTATTCTAAATATAGGGCGTTTTTGAACTACATGTACGTACTACATATACGTATTAAAATGGGTAGTAGTACATGAAGTTAAAAAATAATCCACAATAATTTTGCTGTGGAATTCTTAAACGTATCCCATAACAAGATTATCCTCTTGTGAAGTATTTTCGTTAGGATATATATTGGCAGATAAGATTTTATTTTTGACAAGAACAACAAACGTCAACTAAAAACTAATATATTGCAGGGTTGGCATAGCCTACATACTAAACAAGCATGGAAAAAATATTGACACTACAATAACTGTTCAAAATCAAAAGTTGCCAATAAAGGGCCCACTATAGCATTAAAGTAAACTCTGCACAATGAATTATATAAATTATTTATAATTAACTTACCTACCTCAACAGGACAGTGACATACGTCCAGGTACTTTTAAAACGTATTTTTGTGCATTCGAGGAAAGATCAAAATATAAACCATTTTGATATCTGCATATCTTTTAAAAACACCCTATATATTAGACCGATATGTTATTTTTTAATTGATTTGAAATATCCCAATTTTGTTTCAGTTAGCATATAACTTATTGGACATCATTTTAACAGAAATGTATCCAATGCTAGACAAGTATGAAGAACATTATTGACTATGACCTTAAAAAAACTACAGACTACAGACCAAGATTGTAATTATAAAAATATGTACTGAATTTAAAGTTCTTGAAAAGTACTTATGTATTACCTCTAGTATTTTTATCTACTTTGTAATTTGATCTAATTAAAATTGTGATATTTATACTTAATTTGTAAAAAAAGTAATTGTATTGCCACCAAATATTTTCATTTTTTGTAAATATTTTATATATTTATACTGTTAAGTTTTAGCACGATTTGTTTAAAATATGTAATATATGTTTTAAATTAAATGTTTTTAACTTGTTTAGGAGTGGTTGAGGGAATAAAACACGTTTTTTAATATAAATATTTTAATTAAGATCTCTATCCTCTAAGTATTTATATTCAAAAGTAAATCCTTCTTTTTTCCGTTGTCCCCACTTCTCATAATCGAAGTAAATGTAAGTCCCCTGAAATAAAGAACATAATATTAATTATAATTATTATTAATTTCAGTAAACATTATACATTGTTTTTCATAGGTGACTTTTATCTGACGGTTACTACAAAAATCTGCTACTAACAATATAATCTTCAATTTAAAAATGTAAATATATAATATACAATTATTTATTTTTTAATACCTGTTCATATTCTTCATTAATAATCTTGGGTTCTTCGTGCCGCTGAAACCACATCATGTATTTGGTGTGGAACCTCCAACTTTGTTTTTTGAGCGCTTTAGCCGCGAGATATTGAGCCCTAGTGCCTTCCATGTAATAGAACACAAAAAATAACGTCTCCGTCGCTAGCCTCTGGTAGAATTCTAAGCTGTCAGAGTGAGCGAGGGGCGTTTGGATGTAGTACGAAGGTGTTGTGCACGGGCTCCTGTGGAGAGAATAATTCATTTTAATTATATAAGAATATTTTTCACTGCTCATGTTTTCAGATGTAAAGCAGACATGTCATCAGTATCTCAAATTTCATTAAGTCAGTTTTTTTCAGCGATTTAAACCAATCGTGTGGACTCTAGAACACAAGGGGCCTAAGCGACATTTAAAAAAAAATCTAGTTAAATAAGGAATGTGGTGGTTAAAATACCAGTATTTTAAGTGGTAAAGAGATCTGAGTGGATTTTTTAACATTTGCTAACAAATATAGTTAATTTCTTAGAGTGCAAGGGATCTATGTGTCACTTACAGCCGTATGCATAGTCGATCGCCAGCGACTCGCCAGAGATTCATTTCGGCGCATCGCTAGCGATCCGCCGGCGAAAGCCCAAAAAGGTGGCGACTCGCTGAAGATTGTCACCGGCATGTCATTTCACGTTCTTTTATAGGAAAAAATTTGATATTCGTTCGTTTTTTGAGTTTTAAGAAATGAATCAATAATAAAATGCGAAAGATGCCGGTGATAATCCCTATAAAAGAACATGAAAACTTGCGAGAAATGACATACGGTGACAATCGCCAGCGGGTCGCCACCATTTCGGGCTTTCGCCAGCGGGTCGCCACCTTTTCAGGCTTTTCAGGCGATACGCCGGAATGAATCTCCGGCGAATCGCTGGCGATCGACAATGCATACGGGTGTGAGATTCCTCTACATCTAACTAGTTTTGTCTTGTGATAGCAGATCACATGTAAAATAGTCTTGTAAGTTTTGTTTTCAAGCATTTGTATCAATTAAATAAATTTTAATTTCCCATTCTGCTCAGAAGTCAAGAGATCTAAGTGATGTTTTCTTGAAAGTCAAGTGGGGCCAAAGTGCAAAAAATATATAAAAATATCAAAAATTAAAAAATATATAACTGATATTGAAAGTCAAAGACCTGAATAAGATTTTGGTACACAAAATACTGATAATCTTTCCACTGCTTGAAAAAATAATTTTTCTAACTTTAGTTTAGACCCATTATGTTCTAGGGTCCACATATATAATTATATAGATTGCTCCATTGCTCGTCCATATGAAAATCAGATGATGAAAAGGTTTCACTGGGCAAAGTTTTCTCATTATTTAATACATGCAATATATTTTTTGATTTTGTAATTGATTCAATCCTACCTTAATTATGTTTCGGACTGTGTCGTCTCATTATTACCCCTTTTCAAGTACGAACCTCGCCTATACGCGACATTTGCAAGTAACTTAAAATAGCCGAATGTCGCGTATAAGCGACCCAAGAATCTAGAGAAAGACTTAGGTAAAAACTGATACAGGTGGCAATAACCACGTAATTTACAATGAGCAAGCGAATTGATTTCGCCAGGCAACACCGCCAAACATAAACTGTTTTAAAATATTAGTCGCGAATAAGCGACAATAGGCATACAGATGTGTGCAAGTATAAAAAATAATTTCGGCTAGCACACGTGCCTAGGAAAAAAAATCGTCTTGAGAGGGTTAACCGAGAACAGTCGATGATTTGAGAAGGTTTTTTCCATCACCAGATTAACGCATTTTTGTGGCCGATTTTCGCCATGCGTTGTACACTAAGCAAGTCTAAACATGTTAAGGTAAATTATCGGTTAAGGAAATACAAAAATGTCTAGATTATCAAGGGTAATACCACAAGAAGTGAGAACATTTTGTTGTTTCTTTGGAAATTATGCCTCTAAATTTCATGAAACAAAATCCTCCGAAACATAAGCCGACCAGGAGTCAAACCTGGAACCTTCGGACTGTGGCCGTCGCTGTTCTTACCAATTAAGCTATCGATGCACATTGTTTCTATGTCCGAATTCGTAAATTTTAAGAAAATCAAATTCAGACTCAGTCGGTGTTAAATACAAATTCTAATCACAATCCCAGCTCTCTCAATTCTTCTTAAAGCTACCTCTATGGCATCAATTTATATTATTATAGTAGAAAAAATTTATAAGATTCTTTATTCGTTCACCAGTGTTAAGTTTTCTAATACGAGTCGCCGTAAACGTGAGTATATAATGAAAGAAAAGCAATAACAAAAATGGAAATGATGACGCCATCACTTACCTAGGCAGGTACGTTCGTATCCTTTCTGAATCAGAAGGATGAGGCATGTGGTAAAAGGCGGCTTCCATAAGCTGGAATTGAGTTTGATGTTCTTTCTGAAGAGGTATAGCTCCGAGTGGCGCTACACCTAATAATGGAGGTATATGGGCGTCAGACTTTCCTTGATTTTGAATCTTATTCGGCTCAAGGATGACCTGGTTGTTTTGTAGGCCGGCTTGGTCTATCACTTGTTGAGCCATCGACTTTAACGACGTAAGACCGTCGTTCAACTTAAAATAAATATTCAAACTTGTAGAAACTAAGTTTTACAGAAAAACGAGGGATTGATACAATATAAAACGAAACTAAATAATATTTACCTTTTCCGTAATCGGACCATTCGGTACTTGTGATGTATCAATGTCAGAATTCGACATATCACTGCCATTATTTGGTTCTGGACTTAAACAATTATTTTGTACATGTTGTTCATTATACGATTTAGAAGAGGGATTATTTGTTGAATTTTGTATTCCCTAAAAAAATAAAAAAACCATAAACATTGTTACAATATATACTTACAAATCATGATAGGTTGAATATACAGTCCCAACACTGTGGGTGTGAATGGCATGAGTACAAATAATTTATCAGATGATAGTTAAGGTCAAACAAATGTTCATACAAGATGAAAATGAGTTATTTAGGTATTTGAATCAGGACCACAGCTAGACTAAACATTTCCATACTGTATATAATAAACATTTCGTTTTTATTACTACTTAATATTGCCAAAAAAGTTCAGCGATTTTTTTCAAAAGTTAAATTTTACCAGTAAAACTAACATTTTGGAATATATTACGAGGTGTGGCTAGAAAATAATCGGACTGATCGTTCTGTAGAAAAAACCGTGAGGGTCCAAGGTCAAACGGAACAGGAGCGTGCCTCGTGACATCTCTCTCTATTGCTATCATCGTAAAAGCTGCGCTCCGCTTAATTGAGCAGTGGCCTTCATTTGAAATGGTGTGCTCTGCCGGAAATATGTTCATGTGTTCACGGAGAATAACGCGTCAATGTATAATTCCTTGTGAAACTAGGAAAATCCGCCACAAAAACGTTTGCTTTGTTGAAACAAGGATGTGGAGATGACGGTTTATCGTGCACTAAGGAAAGAAGTGATCCTAATTTGTGCCTATTCAAAAACGGAGACAAACACTGAAAATATCAGTGCCTTGATTCTAAAAAAAGATGGTAAAGTATTTGGGCTGTTGCTGAATCTGTAGAAATCTAAAAAGAAAGTGTAGTCTGGTTTTAACAAAACACATCGGCTTCTTCCTGAAGTCAACGCTGCAGCCAACACTGCACTGTCTGTCAAGAGGTAACCTTACATATGACAGCATTCTTTACAAATTAAATTACTATTATTTCCATATTCAACTGAAGATCTTGTTTTAGAGCATCCACCATAATCATAGGATCTTCTTTTGTTTATTACCCAAGGTCAAATCAGCACTGAAAAGGGCCCAGATTTGAGACAGTAGAGCTGTGAATGAAAAAGCGGCGGAGACCATGAACATGCTTTCAAAAAATAATAACAGCATGCTATGGCCAATGGACTGAGGGTCAGCAACAACACCCTAAAACTCAACCTCTGGAAGGTTCTGATCTCAACTCCAATGGAGAAAGGCCAAACTTGGGCCATCTCCGTGGACGAAGGGTCATATACCGAACTCCAGAAGCTGGACATGTCACCATACTTTGGGATGGAACGTATAAAGTTCTGTCTCAAATAAATGGAACATGAAGAAAAGGAGAGGAACAGGGCAAAACCGGTCCAAAAAGGCTCCAAAACAAAGCCGGTGCACCAGATTCTACACCAAGACACTAGAGGAAAGTCTAGAAATACTAACTCAGATGCATTTTCCGGACTCAACTACCCTAACAGGATTAGAGTCAGGAGACCAAGGAAGCTATAGTCACAAGGGAATCAGACCAACTCCAATAGACTGGAAGCTGGCCTCCGAGATCACAAGGCCAGTCAGGATTAGTTGGGCTATCGACAAATTTAAGGCATACAAATCCCCGGGGCCGGATGGAATATATCCAATTCTGCTCCAGAAGGGTAAAGATGTGTTAATGCCACATTTATGCAAAATCTTCAGAGCATGCATTGCCTGGAGATATATCCCAGCTATATGGCAAAAGGCGAAAGTAGTCTACCTTGCCAAAGTAGGTAGGGTCACAGACCAAACGCCAAAGTCACATTTAGTTGAACGCAATGGCATACTTTTTCGTTTTGTAATCTGTAGAAGAGCTAAATATCCATGTGGATGACATACTTTCAAAATTTGTCTTTAATAACATTAAGAAAAACTTTGTTTATTCTATACCTGTTAAAATTATTTGCACTCATACTATTTACGCCATGTATAAATCAATAAAGGATATTTCAGGTTGGCAGTTATTAAAAAATATATTAAAAGAAATTTAAATGATCCAGTTTGAGAAACTTTTAAATAGAGGTAAGTACATTCATAACTAAAAAAATCTAATAATCTAGTAATGTACATTAAATTGAATACATTTATACCAAATAAACTTTTTTAAACAAGTGAAACGAAAATAAATATAATATTAAAAACTAAATGGAAGCTATGTTATAAGACATTTTAAAAATCTTTCAAAATTTAAAAAGTAATAACTTCCGAAATATATTAGGTACTCAAAATATTTCTAAAAACACTTTATCTCTGAATAACTTCTGCTACAAATTTTAATAGTATAGAGATGGATTGTTATAGAAATTTCTTTGCAAATGATTTGTCAATAGCATTTAAAAAGTTATTGATAAGTTTTTCTCTTAATATTTTGAGAGGTTTTTATTAAATGGGAATGATATTACAATGACCTATTACTTAATGGTTTCTAATAAACACGTACCGAAATTCCGACCCATGAATGTACCTAATTGAAATACAATAACCTATAGCAGTATATGGACAATGAACAATATAATCAACAATTTTTAATATTGCTGTTGCTTGATTGATAGCAAAAACGAAAATATAACAAATAAAATGCTCGACAATAATGTAACAAGTGCTACGATTACCATCAACGATAATATCAAGAGTAATAAATGAAATTGAACGACTTCAAAGCAGAAGTTCCATTTTCTGACGGTTCTAACTAGTGGTATCTTTGATTATTAGTAATTGTAGCCCGTGATATTTGGAAAAATATTGCGATTAAAAAAAAACAACTAGTAAGTTTTGAATTCGTAAATATAAAAACTTACAGTGACACTAAAAAAATTATTTCAGAATGTTACAGTAGGAAATTAAACAACGAATATCTTAAAAAGTAACATAAGAACGTGAGGGCCAATGGCGAATTATTCTTCAATAAAATATATTAATAATAAAAAATATCAAAAACATAAATATGACGAAATAAACTGTACAACATTTATTTGTCTTGAAAATAATTAACTAGGTGGTTAATTGAGAAGCTGTTTCTATTGTAATATGTGACAACGTTTTAAAGTTGTTTCATAGGATTTTAATCCATTCCGTTCAAGTATTGCACTCACTTTCATTATTTTTCTCAATTAACAGAAAATAAGAGAAATTTTAGAATAATTCAGAGCACTCTCGTATGAGTTAACAGTTGTTATGCTTTGCCCAATAATATTTTTTCCTACTGCCTGAAACCACAATTTTCCCACATTCAAGACTCGGAGCTCAAATAATAGAGAAATTAGCCAAGCCATATGTCACAAAATAATACAATCGACCGTTTCCATTCGAAAAAACAAATACTCCTTTGGCTAATACCGCAACAGGCATTAACTTATATGCAAAGATAAAATTAAAGGCATAGAAAATTGTTAACAACGCCCTAACTTTGTTTAAATCAAGAATCAGTTGCAGTCACTACAATAATGAGGTAAGCCAATCGTGTTCCTTGGAAAAGACGCCATTGCCACATATCAAACTAGAAACAAAACTTATTACAGGTGAGGGTAGTCATAATATGTGAGTATAAGTTAACACTAAAAATTGTTTTCTTTGCGAAATCGGGTAGAAATTAAAAAAACTTTGAATGAAATCAATATTTATAAATAAATTACATCAATTTATGAAATAAAAAAATGAGAATTTCACGTTATCCTAAAAAAATATGTTTTTACAGAAAAATATATATAAAAACATGTTAGAAATATGGGTTTAAACGTCACTAGTTTTGATGTTAAAGTTTTAAAATAAACAAAGAAATTTTAAAAATACAACCAAAATATGATTTTTGAACTTTAAACATCACCTCTAAAACTTATATTAAATGTATAATTCTAATTTTTTATAATTTTGTGTTGTTGTATTGAAATTGCTTTTTTAATTAAATAAAGGGCCATAAAATAAATGTATACTTACTAATGAAGCAATGGGATTCGTATGGACCGTTGTATTGATGGCATTGGATGTGTTTTGAGTTTGAACTTGACTAACATTAGTTATCACAGATGCTGGAGGATTGCTCTCTCCACTTGCTGAAATTCGAATAATTTTAAAATAAAAATTTCGTTTATTTGATTTTTTAGTTGAACACAAATTCCAGAAAATCATTTTCTGAATTAGTCAATAAAAACAACGAAGAATTCCAATTACATACACTTCTGGGCGATACAGGGAACTGATTTAGAACATATTTTTTACATATATATTTATCTAACATTGCAATACGTATTTGTCACTTCCCATGAAAATGCGAGAATTTGAAATAATTCAAGTTTTTAGAATCAGCAATTGTCATGATTTAAACATCTCTATCGAAAATTGTACAATTTAGGACTAACATGATAGGTGTTTATTCATTGATGACAAAAATTAAATACTAACAAAAATTATAAATTAAAGGTACAGAGTATGATCCCTTTAAGAAGACTAAGAAGGGATGAAACTAAATAAATAAATAAATTGCCCTTCAATGGTACATAATTGAGAAAGTAATTTTGACAAATTCAGTAATATGAATACCTCAAACTTCTTACGTGAAGAAATTGTTATGTAATCCAAATTATGAAACACCATATGAAAGTATAAATGATCAGGTATGAGACATGTGCTTTATAGAAATTATACACGGTGTCCCACTATAAAGTAACACATTTTAACAGCTTATAACTCGAGAATCGAAAAAGATATCTATCCACGTGCAGTTTTCGCTAAACTTCTTACATTTGCCTTACGTTTTTGTTGACATAGATGCCAAATGTATATTTTTTCCTAAACTGCCGAAAAATGCCCTTTTTAAGCCAAATTACCCACTGATCTGTATTATTTTACTGGATACAATATATGCTATATTTGACACAATAAAAAATCCGTTCCACCAAGGAGACCGGAAGTGCAACACTGCTGGCCGATTTGGGAAAATTATGGTGAGATAATTTGACATACCTAACCTATAATTTGATTAGTTCTTCTTATTTTTCTTCTATTGTTTATATCATAGTAATGTTATCCGATACAACCTACATACATAGCAGATAAAGGATCAGTTCTAACCTATAGTGAAGAGGAAAATTCTTAAAACTGCACTAGAAATTTTTTAAAAGCTATAGGGACTACAACTAAAAGGAGATATTGATAATAGAAAAACAGCCTCGAGCTAGAACTTTAGGGAATAAGTATGAAACGAGAATCGGTGTTTGCCATTGTTACAATAGAACTAGGAAGAACATGCATATAAATATAGTTAAAATATGTTGAAAAAGATCTGCACAATACATATGAAAATGTTTAACAAATAGAACAATATGGATACATGTAACTAAAGCGATTACAATTTGGAACTGATCTAGTGGTGTTTTCAGACACGATTTATAATATTAAGAATTTTGCAAGATAATGTAGGTAGGTAGTTTATAGTTGCAAAGTTAATTTTAACAATATATGTAGATGCTGAAATATATTTCCTACACTTGTGTAGGAAAGCTAACAAAATTTAATGATTATTACCACTATTAGAAATTTTAATTACTATTTCCAACTCTTCCAGGTTAATACATGATCTCTTTGTTGTCTCTCTAACCATTTTTACACTATACAAACCACATTGAAATTTTTGCAACACATATATTCAAACATTGTTTAAAAAAACTTTACTTTTAACAATCTCTAGAGTCGTATGATTCTAGGAAAATACTGTTATGACCTAAATTTTGTGTAGACTATTCGAATGTAATTTACAATTAAATAAAGAACAAATTTAAAGGCTTTACATAATTTTTACAATTATGCAAATATTTATTTATATATTTTAAATGAAATAGAGGAAATCATGGGAAAAGGTGAAAAATAAACTTTTATAATTCTTGTAATATTTTTAATGTAAAAAAGATATAAAGTAATATTTTTAAATGCATTACCAATAGATGTGCAAATTAATTTGCCTTCCAATCTTGTAAGTTCTACAGAAGTGCCTAAAAACTCAGCTTTAACCTCACTCTGCAGGAAAATCTTCAGCCCCAAACCAAACTAAAATATTCCAGTGAAATCAACAAAAGATATATAATTGCTACTCAATAAAAATACCAACTATAACTTGAATGTGCTTATGAAGAAACAGAGTTTTCGATCAAAACTTTTTTAACTAATTGGTTATACAATCTTTCAAGTTCAAGACCAGAGACGGATAGTGGGAATATGCCATCGAAATATTTGCACAATAAAAACACGTCTTCATCGTAATTTGATGGCTATGAAGACTAGATATAAGGAGGCGAATCGGCAATGATCACAATTTTTGTCCTTTTTATAAAGTTTGCTAAATTGACTGTAGTTGGCAGGTCGAACGTCACTGACGTTCATTTTATATATAAGTCAATGCAAAATGAAGTGATTTTTTAAAAAAATTGGTAAAAAGAATCAAAATAATATTAAAAAAAGTACTCGAGTACAAGTAACATGAGTGACAAAAAACATTAAAGCAAGATTTACTTCGTTCCACATTGTAAAACAGGATACAAATCACATGTAAAACACAAGGAGAAATTAATTCAATGTCATTTTAAAGCTTCTAATGTATTTATGTCTAAATTAAATATTTATTGTAAACTAGTCTCAACACGTATCACGGAGTGTAGTTTATTTTATTACAAGTTTCTATAAATAAAATTTTACAGTCATAGATCGTGACTTACAAACAACAATAATTATACGTTAAATTTAACTTACTAGAAAAGAAAATTTATTTTTTTTTATAGAGTTTTAATGTTAGATAAAGAGTTGCTACTATTATTTTTTTGTTGAACTCCAATTTTGTCATTGTAAACGTTTTTTATAAGATCCTAAACGCTTAGGTGGCAGCATATATATCGTTCCTAGGGCCGATAAAGCACTTTCTAGAGATGATGCTGTTCTACACTTTTTTGAAGATATTTCCAAATATTATGACTCTCTTTACTGATGGTACTGGGCAAAATAAAAAGGGGAAAGCCGAAATTAAAGGATGTGGCAATATCATATACAATCGCAAATCTTCCTTTATGTTTGTATTATAACAATAAAAAAGCTGTTGTTTTATTTTGCTTTTAACTACTAAATTTAGGTATAATTAAAAAAATTTAGACACAAAATTATATTTACCAAATTTCACCGTTTAACAAATCTTTCGAATTGGGTCATATCTACCTAAATTGGATTTTATATAGATAAAATTAAATAATTTATCAATTTAAACATGCGAGACTTATTTATAAATAAATACAACAGTATATTCTGTGCTTTATTTGGCAATAAACAAGTTTATTTCTATTATTTTGACAAAATTATGTAAAATTCCCATGAGAAGCCATGTATTTTGAACAGCGGTACTAGAACCAGCGCCCTTGAGGTGAATTAAGAAAGCTCAATTAGCGTTCGTTTGTTGGGACTGTATTTCGAGTATGCCGATTCGCCTCCTTATCTCTAGTCTTCATAGTGATGACAAACGGAAATAGAGGTTATGTTAAATAATATCTGGTCCTCCATATTAAATCTTTTACTTTGCATCGAAAGTGTAGCACTGAGCAACGCCACTTCTAAAAATATCGTTCCATTTATACAAATTGTACGGATGGAACGATATTTTCAGAAATGGCGTAGCTCAGTGCTACATTTTCGATACAAATGAAAAGATCTTATATTTGCCCAAATCGGCCAATTTTTCGAACGATTTTTAGGTAAAATAATACAGATCAGTGAAATTAACGGTTTACTTCAAATAGAACATCCTATATTTTTTCATACCATCTTAAAGTCCATTTCTTCCCCTTTTCAAAAATGTATACTTTGTGATTATTTAATAAAGGTTTGGGGGAGATATTTTTTATGATTCTACATCAAAAATATGTAATTGTAAGATTGTTGGAATTGTCTGTTAAAAGTTTATTCATTTTTTAAACAGATTTATGGGTGTATTTTCTGGTTTACTTCAAATAAAAAATTATCTGATACTCTTATAATCAACTGTTCTTTTTCCAAAACCGCCTGACATATTAAACACCGTTTTATCAAGGTGGCTTTGAAAAAAATATGTGAAGATGATCAAGAACGAACACACTCAAATTTATTAATCGACAATGTAAAAAGGTCCTTTTTTCCGGCAATTTCGGGAAAAGTATATATTTGGCAACTTTGTCAACAAAAACTTGAAGCAAACGTAAGAAGTTTAGCGAAAACTACACGTCGATATATTTTTCCATTCTTGAGTTTTAAGCTGTTAAAATGTGTTACTTCATAGTAGGGCAGCCTGTATTGTGGTACTCAGACGTAATAAAAAGTTATTCTAAATAATCAGTTGATAAAAAAGCCAAAAGTTATAACCATTTATGGTTTAAAATTTAATGTGCAGGAATAGACCAACCAGTTTAAGTCTTGAGTTTTGTTTGTTACAGAGAACGAAGCTAACGAACCAACCGTCACTTAGAATGTCGAAGTGAACCTCTGATAAACAAATTTTAAATATGCAAGCCCAAATTCATTATAGTTCAACCAGGTGAAATTTTATTAGCAATTTTAAAATAAGGGCAAAACTGCTTCTGAAGTTATTTTCTTAAGAACAAATATTGGTGACAAGACCAAAGTTCAAACATTTAGCTTTATCTACAGCAAGGTATCGACAATAATATACTATAAAATCGGTTCAACTTCTCATCTCTTGAAAATCGCAAAACATACATTTCATGTATCTTTATATATAAATTAATGAATAATTTAATTGATTGTCCAGAGCTCTTAGAACAAATGAATTTATAAGTAATGAAACGAGAGTATTTACAGTGTGTAAATTGAGTTTTATTAATAAAACTCTGTAAAAATTTTTCTAAGCGCTTTCGGCCTATTAGGCCATCATCAGAGACTTCGTCAAAAACTATAGAAGAGACATGAAAAATGCACTAAGTTAAAAAGGGCAGCAACAGACTTGTCCCAAGTCACCACCATAGCTTGTAGCTAGGATAATTGAACATAAAAGAACCACACCGAACATGTGGTTGAATTTTAATAAATGAAGTGGGGGTTCATCCAATAAAGTAAAACTGAACACTCTAAACCATTCAAAGGAAAAGATACTGCTGGTCTTCAACATGAAGACAGCCAGATTTTTCCAGTTGCTACCGTGAGGCGGAGGCAAGTTCTCAAAAATATCGTGTACCTACTATTTTTTGTGCCCCAACTTGCTCCAGAGCAGTCTTGAAAATTCTAGACACCTCCACCATTTCTTACACTGAGCCAAAGTGCATTTATTAAAAATTTCTATCTTCAAGATCATTCATCAGGGTCTAGTGCATTCCAGAATAATCATTCATCTCGACTGGCAGTGTCCATAGGCGGATCTTACGGAGGGATTTCAGAGGTTGATTTATTTGATAGAATACTCCTGGTAATCGGGAAATAAGGAGAGGGACTTAATGAATTAGAGCAGGACCGGACTGGTCGGAAATGCCTTGCACAACATATTCTTTTGTTTATTTAAAAAGTTTAGTACTTAGTATTAGCCAATCATCACACGTCAGTGCTGTCGCGTGGCTATTTTCTTGGTTATTAAGTGACTTAATAAAAATATTTAAACTACAAATAGGGTACGTGATTAAACATAAATAATACTTTTAAAAACACCTAAAATTTTGTATTTACAAGAACTTTGTTTAACGTTATTTTAGAAGTTTGACACTTCTCGTATACTGTCTAACCGGGCAACATTGTGTCTTTACTTTGTATTGGTCCATTCCCGCCTACGTCATGAATTAATGAGAACAAAAACGTCTGTAATTTAGCTTTATTTTTAACTGTAATGGTTTTTGAACATGCCCCATTATACATAACATGATAACTCTAGTTTCAAAATATTATATTCATAAAACTTACTCGTTACTTTCGCCGTTACCGCCGCAAAGTTGCCACCTACTATCGAAGACGTCGCCAACGACTGCGCAAGGATATTTCCAAGATTTGCCAGATTGCCAATATTTCCAATAGGCGACGGCTCCCTTCCTGGAATTTTGGCCACATTAGGAGTTACCGCGCTATTTGTCGACACCGTCGTCGTCTTACCTAGATCAAGAACTAGACTTATGGTGAATTTAAAGTAATACTCATACATAAAAAAAAATATTAATAATAGCCCCGTTTTTGTAGAAGTCAGACGTGTTGCGGCGTTACAAAGGTGGGATAGTTACTTTGATAGAATAACAGTTATTTTAATAGAGTAACTAGTTACTTTAACAAGAAAGTAGTTATAGTCATAGTTTCAAAGTAACTTTAGAAATAGAGTAGTTTAATCCAAAAATGAAAAAATTATATCTCGTTTTATAATTTTACAAATGGTTGCAAGAACGTTGATTAAAATTTATGAGCCTGATAAACTTTGACACATATGTTTAGAATGAGTACTTAATTTGAAGTTCATATCAATCACAGTAACATTCTCGAACTTTATAAAAGTTTATAAGGCATTTTTGTGATAGTTAAATGTCACTAAAATAACACATTTAATATTCTCTGATTAAAAGTTAGTATGTTGCTGTTAACCGTCGAGAGTAATACATTGTCTATACGCTTTATTAGTATGACGAAATTTTGGTCTTGATCTTGTGCTCGTGCCGGACATTTACAAAAAATCATGACGTGTTGCACATTCTAACTGTAATTCTAATTCGGCTTCGCAGTCAATGTGTTAAAGCCTGTCCATGTAAGAATATGTGATCCATTTATACATGCCCACATAAAAATATTTGCCTATTTATACCTTAAGTTTGTTCTTATAAAGACATTTGATTCCTTTATCCCTTAAGTCTCCCATATCAACATATTTAGTTCCTTTACCACTTAAGCTTACCCATATACAAATAGGTCTATCCAAGTAAAAATATTTCTCCTGTACACCTGCCCATACAAAAATATTTGCCCCCTTACCTCTTAAGCTCGCCTGTATAAATATATTTAAGATATTTTACCCCTTAAGCCTGCCCATATACAAATATGATTTGGGCAATTTACCTTTTTAATCCTAATATCAAATTCAGATACGAGTTCTATTCTGGTGTTTCATTAAAGATGGTACAAAAAGCATCGCTGCTTTCCATCCTATTATATTATTCGCGGTAAGATCCACATTTATTTCATATTAAAACTATTATTTTCAATATACTTTAACTTACAAAAAATAAGTAACTACTGAATTGAAAATTGAATAAATATTTTAAATGACTTAAAAAAAATTGAAATGATATATTTGACAAGGTGAAAGAACTAAAGAAAACACAATTACTTATCGGCATTCACCGTTGACAAGCATGACTACCCCTAATTATGAAATCAATATGAATACCTACCCTCGCTAAAGTACACAAAAGATGCATTGCATTTTAACAACGGTAATAGGTATTTAAAACACTTAATTTAAACCAAATATTCTAAAAATCAATATGGTTAGTTAGAAGAAATTTTAATCATAGAGTGGGAAATAGGTAGGTAGGGTCCAATTACAATTAAAAGAACACAGCTACGTCATTATTTGGCGAAGTAATTCATTGGCTAACGCCACCTACTGGGGGTTTAGTGGCGTGTAAATATTGTTACGCAGAACTCTGCAATGTGCTGCAGTTGTCATAAGTAAAGGTTCGCGTAAATGAAGAAGATAGAATAGTCCAGAAATGTCATTACTTCTCAAAGATTGCTCGAGGTTCTAGAAGGTGGAGGCGAGCTATATAAGTCGACGACCTGACGTCAGAGTTTCAGTTTTATGATAGACGTTATACGTGAATGTTATCAGTTGGATAGTTGTTGAATTATAGTTATTGTAAAACTTGAATTGCAATAAATTGTGATACCAAAAACCTGCGTAACAATATTATAGGAATATAGGAAATATGTTTTTATACCAAACTACTTACTTTTTCTTTATTAATAGTTATAGGTAATATAAAATGTGTCTAAGGTCCCTCCTCCCCCATTAATTTTTTTAACCGTAATTAATAATTGAGAAAAGAATCCATACAAAAAAACTTTGATTTTAAACGAGAATAGTACAGTGCCAAACGTTAAAAATTTGTAGTACGGCCGTTGATAGCATTCAAAATTTAAATCAAAGGATTCATTATGAGTAAAAAAAAATATTTTATTTTTATTGATGTCATTGGAAAGGGTTTGGAACAAGCTTTCAAATAATGTATCACTTGCCATATGAGCCAATTTAAAATTATCTTCTAAAACGGCTTCCGTCCGCCATTTTTAATGATTACGTCACCTAATATCATTAAAAAGGTAGTATACATTCTTTAGTTCAGATTCCCAAAATTCTAAATTTCTAACTTTTACGGTTCAAAAGATAAATGGGGGGGGGGGGAGGAACTAATTTTATTTTATTATGCATTCTAAACAAAATGGTTGCCTGATGAAAATGACACACAAATCCTCAATTTTACATTTGTGTTACAGTGTTCTAATTGTTTTACATAATTGATTACTAAATGATTATTTAACTAAAATATTAAAAATCACTTGAATGAAATAATAGTACAAAAACTAGATAGTCTATAAAAAACTTTGTTTGGCACAAAAATTACGTCATTATTAATACAGCGTATAGGGGACTAGTTACAAAGCTTTTTCAAGTCCTCAAATAGAATACAAGTTTTACTTTTTAGTGTTATATGTGGGTAAAAAAGTCACTACTACATAGGAATAGGACATCCCATAATATAAGATTAGGAATTTTTATTGTAATTTAAAATATGTACTTAGTGTGAAATTAAAACAGGCTATATACTATTATTGTGTTTATGCGACTTCTTCGAATAAATGGCAGATTAGAAATCTTGGCACGCTTAATAAAAAACGAGGCTATCATAATATCAAATATTAATGACGGGTGGGTAAAGATACCCTACCTCCATTGCATCAATTTCTTACCTGTCGTCGGCGCCGTGGGGGCGGCACCGGTCAATAGAGACGCCGTAGCCGTTACCGCCCCCGTTCCCCCAACCAAACTGTAGTTTAGTACGGAATTAAGAGTGGTATTCGTGATGGGTTGGCTGTTGTTGGTCACTGCTCGCACAGGTGTCGGTTTTACTGGCTATAACAACAGAAAAAATTATAAGTTAAATTTAAAAATTCGCTTATTTTGTTATGTGCATTATTAATTGTAACAATCTATTAATCTTTTTGAGAAGAGCTACGATTTTAGTTACATACTAAAAAAAAAAAAAAAAATTAAATTACTAAAACAAGGAATAAAAGTTTTAAATGTTGGGATATAATAAAATAATAATACATTATGTTTGTAAATAAAATGTTTTATACTAACTAAAATTTACTTTTTTATATTTTTATTTGTTTTTTTAATGTCGTAAAAAGTGTAAAAGTTTGAATACAAGTTAAGTTTATAATAGTATTAAACAATCTTCCTGGATTTCCTACCTCTTATCATCAATGATAACAATTGTCTGACAACGTGTATAATAAATACTCGGACTTTCTATTTTTGACAAATTTAAAACATCTATATTTAGTTATTTGTTCGAATTGCAGTGATTGCAAAATATATTACCTTTTGTTTTCATGATAACTAGTTATAGTAAATAAAAATTTTACTTTAAAAACGATTTAAAGAAATGATTTATTATCATAACTGGAAATTTATCGAGTTGATAACGGATTGAATTAACAGGAACAAAATGTATTACGAAAATAAAGAAAAATTTAGTACTTGGTAATAATATACACTGGTCAACAACTGAAGTGGATATTTATAAAGTTTACGTATTACTGTTATGATTAACCAAAGAAACATAACGAAACTAGTCTTCAATTAAAAAAATAAGTAACTTTTCAATCACCGTGCTTCAAATACTTTTTGAAATGAGTATTTGATATTTGATGTCTGAAGCACGTTATACAAGTACTTGGGACTTTAACGCCCTTCGGCAGTATAAATGAGGCCCTTATAAATGCTTAATACACTATTTCTACATTGATCTAGACTAGACAAATAGGTCAAATATGAAAATTAGGAAACGGATTTTTAAATATATTAATTTTATTGGATAGTGAAAATGATGCTATTATAGCAGCATTCACAATTCCCAAATTTAAATTGAGTTAGCTTAACGCAATCGAAAATATTGACAAAAAATAATAATATACAACAACTAATTATTACTGGTGGTAAAAATATTACTTTAATACAAACACCAATTTTGGAAACGAAAAATAAAGAAAAAAATTAACGAAACAAGATTTTTTTGATTGTAAAAATTTTACTATTCCAAGCGTAACAATGAAGTTGAAATCGAAATTTTGCAGTATTTAAAATAGCCAAGATCTACTTACTTTATTTCCAACAATACCGAAATTGTTTACCGTCAAGTGGTCCTGTTGAACGAATTCGTCTAGAAGGCACGCCTTAAAGGAACAAAAAAATGATAATGATAATAAAAACAAATAATTTTAGATTATGTTAAACACGCGATTAGACAAAAAAATTAATTCTTAAGACGTAGACTACATCTAACGAATTTGCGTTATTGTAAGAGAAACCGTAATAGTACCTTATTGGAAAAAGAAAATAATCATTGTTTGGAACAGAAAATATTCAAAGGAAATCTGTAAATATCGCAATGAGGGAAAAATGTATTATTTGGACGAACCCTGAATTAATCAAGGGTACATCGTTACAAACGTTTGGCAAAATTTAGAAATCATAGAGATGATTTCATACAAGGACTCCGTACGGCAGGGGTTTTGAAACTTTTAAGCCTTCAGGGCCATACTGATTGCTCCAGTAAGTTTCAAGGGCCAGTTTTATTTTCTTGCAATTATCTAGTCGCCGAGTACATGCACTGAGCGAGCATACGCTTGCTAAATGCGCTAGTTCAATTACTGGATTTGGGCCGCGGACCGTAGTTTGGATAGACCTGTTCTACGGGATTGAATTCACCCCCGGGTGAAGGAAGTCGTTTAATAATTACACATATTGGAAGTGATACCGGCTTTGTTGATGTTTTTGAATCACGAAAGACCAGGGATTATCACGAAGGATGCAAATGTATTTGAAACACACCAATAGTGAGATAGCTCAACATTGTACACATTTGCAGATTCTGCTAATAGTTCTTACGAAACTTTAACACATACTAAAGGTCGGATTAAAATTAGAAGAACACAGCTACGTCACAGTTTATAGCTAAAGAATCAGTTCGCTCACTCTATATCGGCACTTTTGATCTTAATGTTCCAGTTTATACACTGCGCAACTCAAATTTGTATCCCTGGCGCATACAGAATCAAATCATAACCAATTGAATTAATGTCAACCTCCTATATTCAAACCCCGATTCAAACAGCAATCTTCTGCGCATCCTGAATTTGTATCCCTGGAGTGGATGTTATTTTGGAACATTCAACTGGTCCGAGTGAGCTAACTGGTCCGAGTGAGCTAACTGATTCTTTAGCAATAAACTGTGGCTATGTCATCATTTGGCAAATTAATTGGTTATCGCCGCCTACTGGGGGTTTAGTGGAGTGTTAATATTATAGGAAATATTGTTTTATACTTAACAACTTACTTATTTTTTTATTTATTGACATTCGAAGTAATGGTTATGACGTAGCTGTTCTTCTAATTGTAATCGGACCCTACACAAAGTAATAAAATGACAATATTCCACTAGAACTAATAAATAAAAACTCTGGATCAATCGAACCCACTTCAAAAAAAATATATATATATATAAAAAACGTAACATATGGCATAGGTACAGGTCAACAAGAGCCGAGGAAGATTATGCTGCATATAGAAAACAGAACAAAACACTTAAATCAATAATTTTACTGATTTACCCCTTTAAATTTCACTTTAATATAATGTGTGATCAAAAACAGGGATAATCGTTAATAAATGTAAAGTTAAAACTAAATTTAAATATTATGAGATGGTGTAAATCTGGCTTTGAAAATAAATTAGGTTATGTTGCCATAAATATGTCAGCATATTATTTTTATTTTCAAATGTGATATTTTTTTCAAATGTATGTAAGTAAATTGTATTAATTTAGTGAAAGTTAGATTTAACTAATTTAACTATTATAGGAAGGTTCTTAAGAATGTTATTAACTTCTGATTCATTTAAATTTGAATTGCATAAGTAAATATTTTTCTCACAAAACTAACAAGAAATTTTATATTTTTTCTGCTATTATTATTACTCTTAGAGATAAATGAATCCACATTTTAAATACTGTCCTTCCTCCATTTCCAAACATTTGTGGTCAAAAAAATGAAAGAAGTTGTGAGCGAAATGTGTGTAGCCAATTTACAAACAGATATTGTAGAACCCGAGATAGAACCTCATCATAGTTTTACTCATAAAGACCATGATGAAAAAAGGAGAATGATTTGTGCTCAAAAAGTTATTGCTCAAGTTTTGGGTGATATTCATTATTTATTATATTTATAAATAATACCCAAATATGTTCAAAAACTAATATATTTAGATCAACTTGTTAATTTGTGCATAGTTCACCTATTAAGCTCATAAATCAGATGTTTTCTATTTTTATTGTAATTTTTATACCTTTTATTTCAAGAAAATATGTAAGAATTTAAAAAAGTAATGACTCCTGTTAATTTTTACTTTTAAGATACACACCGCACCTTTATTTTTATTATGTTTTAGATATTCCTGGGTATGGAGATTTTTGGAATGCGCATAAATGTCTATCTGAAACAGGGTGTGTTTCAAACCCACTTGTATTGAAGCTGGAGGCTTATTGTACCCGAAATAGGCATTACAACTAATCTAGATTGAAATAGATGGGTGAAGGCCTTAAAGGGACAATAAGTATAAGAATATTAGAATTAGAATGATTTGTCCTTGGATTAATAAGTCAGTCTTAGGGATATTTAACTTTTTATAAAAACTATATCCGGTTTTTTTACTAACAAAAACATTGTCATGTGCTATGCTGGTTATCACATTATATTTTTATTTTTCAGTAATTTCGTGTGTGATATAATAGTGCTTGTTATGTTCAAAATATGCAGTTAGAAGATAATGAGACACGTGTAATTACATAGTAATTCTAAATAAATTAAACTTGTTAAAAATGTGTTTTATTTTTCAACTAATTTTATTTTTCAGTTAAAACAAGTGACATTTGCCATTTTTCAACATTTACCTACAACAAAAATTGCTTCATCGACTATGCCGCTTGCCTGTTCTTAACAATAATAATTTAATCATATGCATACTTAGAAAAACGGCAAAAGGAAAAATTCATGAAATTGATCATAGATGAAATAGCTAAAGAACGCCGTTTTAATGCATTACTGCGAATTAAATTCGATTTAGAAGATTGTGATATCACACATAAAAATGTCACCAGACGTAAAAATACGTTTAAATGCAATAAGTTCTGTTACAGCTGCTGATTGGTATAAAAGTATTGGTCACGTGATAAAAGATGTGAAATTACCGGAAAAGCAAAATAATTATTTCAAATTTGACACCTGGTACTATTTAATTATCAGTATTTCACTAAAGAAAGTTGAATCAGATCGTAACATTTCGAAGACAACACTACTATTATGCTATGCACTATCCATTACGAATTTATTTGATAATGGGGTCATAAGACTACTGTCAAACTAACCCTTAAAAAATGGTAATGCGCCATGTTAATACCACAGAGGTAGTGTGGTAATGTATCAATAACTACTACTGACCTCACTTCAAATTGAAAAATTTGAAAATAATTTTTGTATTAACTTAAAATTCTTATGAATGTAAAAAAATTAAAATTGTCCGCCACTGAAAGCATTTCCTGCTACCCCGTAACCTACAATAATCTCTAAAAATTTTGGAGCCGTGACAGATGTCAGCATTCCATTGTACATTCCTGATATTTTTTACTGTCTATAATAGACTCAACTATAATTTGTTTTCACTTGGAACACTGACATCACACTAATTCAGCGCATTGAGAAGTATAATACAGACAATTTCAGTTGTATTCAATAGAAATTGTTGCAATTTTACTTGCAGCAAGGAAAATTATGAGTTGTAAAGTGACTCTA